TTGATTTTAAATGCTTAATATGATTTTTAAGATGATTTGTGATAAGGCGAGATAATATAATTTTTTCAGCCCGAAATTACTTTTCGTCGTTTCCATCTTTCACTACGTGTGTTCCATTTAACATATAATTAGATTTCGTTACTTTCGAAGATATTTTCAAGTTTTTCGATTTTACAAGTGCGCAACGATTAAAATTATCTCTTTCAAATTTCCACTATTAAAAACTTATTCAAATAAAATTTAAACGCTATATTTTGGTATTTCTATTTAATAAAAAATAAATTATTCTTAATAATTTAATAATTCTTAATAATTTTATTAAACATAAAACTATTCTATTAAAAATAGATTATTCTCATTTATTTCTATTTAATAAAAAATAAATTATTCTTAATAATTTAATAATTCTTAATAATTTTATTAAACATAAAACTATTCTATTAAAAATAGATTATTCTCATTTATTTCTTATTTTAATATTACTGTTATTATTATTATTGGTAGCTATTAATATTATTGTTATTATTAAAAACAACTAATCTAATTCTTTAACAATTTTTCTTTGCTTTCAAAATTAATTCAAAAATAGTTTTTGCATAAATAATTCGCAATTTTAAGAAAATGTTGTCAATCATTTACTTTTTTTTCAAGTCAATTAATTTCTAAAATCGCTTATTCTATTTTAATTTATGAAATTTTAGAAAATTTTGAAAATTTTTTCGCTTGTAAATGAAGATTGATATTTCATTTAAGTATTAGTGAGTTTTGCAAGATTCCCTTATTTTTTTCAAAATTAATTAATCAATTTCACACTATCATTCGATTTTCTCTAAAAATTAAATATTTTAAAAATTCTTATTGGTTTTAGATTGTTTTAGAAATTTTATTTTTTAAATTTTCAAAGCTTTATTATTTATTAATTATCTTTGATCGGTTCAATGAAGAAAAAATTAAAGGAAATCAAAATTGAACGAAATAATCGCAAAAAAAAGAAAAGTTTGCCTGAAGAGAGATTTGCAAATTAAATTTCGATTTGAACTCATCTCTTCTTTCTATTCCACAGTAATTTTCTAAGTTTTTCTCTCAGTAGATATCTTTTTTTTAAAATATTTACCATAAATTCAGAAAATTTATGGCAAAATATTTTTGTGATATTCATTCGTTTATTGTCGCAATTCGAATAATCAATCATTTTTCGTCTATTCAAATCCCAACATTTTATTTTGTATAATCAGGAAATATCCGAAATGATATGAAACTCAAAGCAATATTTACTTCTCTTTGACTGTTGAGGGCTCAATCCTCAAATGGCTCACTTGTCAGAAGACCCAAATAGTTGATAGAGTTAACCAAGACAAAAATGATGCGTCTTGTCAAAAATATTTATGCGGATCAGCAGGTTTGCTGAATTGTATTCAGCATTTTCGATCAAATTTAGTTCGCTTTTCGTTTACTTAAATCGCAAACAATTCGCTTTGTATAGTGTCTAAAAAATAAATTAAATATTGTACTTTACTTATTTAAAATCAAAATTAAAAATATATATTTTATTCATTTCATTAAAATTTAATAGTAATATAAAATAAAATTATTTCAAATTTTTTTAAATAACTTTACTATTCATTATTTTTGTGAATTTAAAAAAGCGTATTTCATGAATTTTTATTAGATCATCTATGCAGCTGCTGTTCATTGTTGTAATATCATTTCTATCATTTCCATAGGCTCATTAAGCGAAAAAAAAAGTAAAAAAACCAAAAAGCAATACTTAGTTAAAATTTAATCCTAAATAAACGAAGATTTTGAAGTTAGGTTCGACTTTCTGTCAAATATTGTGATATATTTTTATATATTGATATATTTTTATATGCAATAAGTGAAGTGAAGCAAGAGTCCTTTTTTTTCCTCTTCTTCTAGCAGCATTCATTTGTCTTAATGAATTATATTGGTTTGGAAGCAAAGGTGATTTCAAAGTGCCAACCTAAAAACTTTTTAAGTTTTTTCCTAAAAACTGCACAGATCAAACTATAACTGAAAGACTTGAATGAAATTTATAGATTGCTTAACGATCGTGAGTTTAAATTAAATTAGGCTTGTAAATTGACTTCACTATAAATACTTATTTCCCAATCTCTTTTAACGAAAAAAATTTTAATCTAGAAGGATTCTATTTTCTCAAGCTATTTTCAAGTTTTTACAACAACTTAAAATAATTTTATGCCTCGAATAAGCGAGTTAGTAGTTAGTAAGCACTTTCTATTTTGCTCAACGGTAAGTTAATTTTTGCATGTGCTAAGAATATCTCCAGCTAACCGCTTTTTTTCTTTCTTTCTTGTGCAAAATTAAATTTTTTTTCATTTTCATTTTTTTCAGATATTTTAATTTTGAAATCACTATGAAATTTAATGATTTTTTTTAGTTCTTAATATTTCTCAAGAGAAATCGCTGTGTCATTTAGAGATCTGATTGCCAGTCTTGTTTTTAGTGAATGACTGATTTTGATATTTTGTTTTTACTTGTTTTCTCCATCTAAAAGCATCATATTCTCAGAATATTCTTAAAGTGACTAAAAGAGAAATATCCAAAAATTGCTGGCGAATCAGAGATCTATGCCACAATAAATTAGATTTTTGAGAGCATTTTTTCTTCTCTTTGAAATTGATACTGAAGAAAATTTAAATTGACAAACTTTGCCTTAAGAATCGCAAATAATTCTTAGCCTAAGGTATCGAATGATTTATACTTTATAGCGCCAATCTAATGGTTCGAAATAATCTTTATTTTTTTCGATAAAAGAAATTTTTCTCATTTCACTGCTAATGCTTGCCGAGTTTATTCAAGATTTTGTCTACTGAAGTGTAATTTTCATCAAATAATTTTATTTATCTATTATTTATCTATAATATAACTTATGATTTATTTTATTTTCTATTTATCTATTTTATTTTCTACTGTTAACCATCTCTTGTTTGGCCAACTTTAAGGATTTTCGTCAGTGAGAGAATAACGTGGAAGATGGTGAGGGGTCGGGGGAGAGGGAGAGAGGGGTAAGAGGAGAAGGAAGAAGAATTAGAATTGAATCTCCCGAAATATTCGAATTCGAATTTTCTGAATCAAAAATTTTCACATATTTTTTACAGCTTCAATAAATTTTTCATAAATTTTTTGTTTCTTTATTTATTTTATTTATTGTATTATTATTTATTTATTTATTATATTCATTTTATTGAAATAATATTTTTATTTCAACAACTATCTTAAATTATTTGATTTAATTAATCATTTTTTGTTATATAAATTTAAAAAAAATTACAAAAATTGTAAATTGTAGATGCAAAAATTGTATGAGAATGTCAATTTATAAAATTTATTTTAACAATTGTCTAAAAGAATATAGCGACAATTTCTCAATTTTATTATTTGTATTTATAAAAAAATAAAGTTTTCTGTTACTTTTCGCAAATTTATGAGGAACTATGGATTCAAAGCTATTTCGGATGTGGAATGATTTTTTCTTTATTTTTTAAGCCATGTTTCCATAATAAAAAGAAGGCTTTCATTGGTTTATAATGCGTAAGGTTTCGGAAAAAATTTTTTTTTGAATTTCAAACGAAAATGCTATGGCTCTCAGTTCATTGTTTTTCAAATTGATTTATCTTAGCTTCTCGTTTGTAAAATCATTTTAGATTTCTTAAATCGAAGCATTTAATTTAAGCTTAATTCAATTTAGCTTTGACTTATATGCTTTAACAAAATATGTCATTAGAGGTAAAACCGTCGAATTTGCTTTGATTGAGCTCAAGTCTTCACAGATTTCTTATCCTCTAAGACTAAGCATTAAAGTTACGTCCAGCTGTGCCCAACTTATTCCCACAAACTACTCTGGTCGACAAACTCTTACCTGGTGTTATCTGTGGCCTACCAAATTAAAAATGATGAGCGCTGTTGGAAGAAGGAAGTTCTTACCAGCAACAAATTACAAATCGTTAGTTGAAGGTAAAAACATAAATAACATAAATTTATTTCGAAATGCCTATTATCGTTCCGAAATTCGCATTTAGCCTTCAGATTATATAAAATGCTCTAATCAATTTTTTATTCCTTATGTTTCTGTTTGCTAATGCTCGTTACTTACGAGGCATAAGAAATGAACTGAACTGAATTTTCCTGCGGTCCTTAAATTTTCTCAGCTCGATTCAAAATAATATAGCGAACAGAAAAAATTATTTACAATATCGAAAAAAACCGAATAGTGAATGTTGAAGAAATGAAATAAGTTACTGAATAAATGTGCAAAAATTGAGCTAATCCGTTTTCTATAAGATTTTATTCTGCATTGTATTCCACAACTTGTTAAATTATCTGTTATCGAATTATCTGTGTTATCATTACTAGTACTTTTATTCCTACGATTTATTCTATTTCCATAGTAAAATCTTACTTTGTAGCAAATTTTACATTCTAGATAAGCTAGCCATTTTCTTTATGTTGTCCATTCCAATAGATTGGTTAATTTCAAATGGAAAAAAGGCTTAAGTACTTATGATCTCTTATTTCGACTTCGCTGGTTATTAGGGCACGTTCTTCTCCCACCACAAGAGTTGACATATATTTCGCTACTTGCTAAACTTTGTGATGAGTGGCATCAAAAGCGTGATGGGCCAAATAAGACCTAACACGATTCTGATTCTGAACGTATAGGTAACGCACCAGTAATATATAGATTTGACGATGGAAAAAAGAGTGGCTTTTTTTTACTGTCGACGATGGCATCAGATCGGGCAATTTGGAAACACCCTATTTTTTTAGCCAGTGGAACCAGCCAGTATTGGTGATGAAAAGAAGAGAATCCCTTGTTTCAGTTGATAATTAATGACAATCCAAATTTGTGGTTGCTGCTGTCTTGTCGACTATATTTTTTTCAAGCCAATAAATTTTAAAAAACATAAAATGATTGATAGTAGTAACAAATAAATTTGAAATAAATAGTGAAATTTAGTAAATTAAGATTTAGAAAATTTAGTAAAAATTTAGTGAATTTTTTTCTATCTCAAAGTTTGCAATATTCAATATATTTTTTTTACATTCTTCAAAACATTTAGCATTTTATCGGAAAAAAACGAACATATGTGAAGAATTTCTAAAGTCAGAGTTAAGCACGTGTGCTTCCTATTTGCCTGTGCTGAAAACCTTGCATACCTCTGCTTCCTAAGTCTAAGCCTTCAGAGATTTATATTATTCTATGAATGTTAATGAGTTATATTCCCTCTTATATAACATCCACTGAAATACATCTCTCGCATTTTCATCTCTTTTTTGGATACCACTCTCTTTAATTTATTTAATTCATTGTTGTGGGATGCACTGCATGTTTCATTGAGAAATTGATCTCTTGAATTCTGAAAATTAAATTCATTATTTTTGTCAAAAAAGTTCTATTTATGCTTTATCATTGGAATAGCATTATGAAGAAGAGATTTTTTCGATGAATTATAACGGAATTTAAGAGGAAGATGCAATCAAATTTCATTTAAGTGACTACGTAAAAGGGATTTCAGTGGCGAAAGTGCATGAGAAATATAAATGATGTGATTAATGGGAACTTAACAAAATTATAGGTCTTCCTTAACAGCATTTTTGGTTTACTAGTTGTATTAACTATACGAGAGGCCATTCGGCAATGAAAATACGGGTGTGGAATGATAGGATTTTTCGCTTTAAAGCACTGTCATCATCTTCATCGTTTCACTAAGATCGTAAAATTTGTGACGTACGAATAGATTTCAATATTTCTTGCTAAATTACGTCAAAAATTACAGCAAAGAGTATTGCAGCAATGCTGCCTCTCGCCCCGATTCAGACAAAGTTGATTCCACCTCGACCCAGATCTAGAAATCACACGTCTAACTCAGCACCACCAGCTATGAAGATACGAACTCATGATATGCTTAATCCGCAAGAACGCAAGTTTTTGGAAGCTGCCGAAATGGGCGATCGACCAACTTTGGCAGCTTGCTTAGAACAAGTATGAGAATTCTACTTTAACAGCATTTGAATAGAGTCTTTGCATTTCTATGCATTTTATATATATAAATAAAATGGGCCAAAAATTTAAAACAGCCATTATCAATCCTTTTCAGTAATTTTTCGCAATTCAGTCTATTCAGTTCTTTCTATAAAAATCTTTCTATTCAGTTAATAAGAAATAATTGTCTAAAAATTATTTACGAAATGAATAAATTTTACTTAATATTATCACAATTAAATATTTAAATTAAAGAAACATATTCTGCCATTAAATATTAACGCAGTGGATTGTATGGGACGCACGGCGATCGAAATCGCTGTCGATAATGAGAATAACGAAATTGTCGAATTATTATTAAAAGAAGAGGATATTCGAATAGGAAACGCACTGTTGTGTGCCATACGTGAGGGTATGTTTCTTAACTGTTCATAAATTGTTTAGTGATTAGGTTGCTCGATGCTTGATTCTAAAATCGAAAAATATGCTAATGAGTATGAACCATTCAAATAACCATTTGACTAAAGCAGTCCTAAAAACACTTTTAAATAAATAGGTTTTCGATGATTATAAAATATGATTACAAATATAAAAAATTCTGATTATGATTAGTTTACAATTCTATTGATTGAATCCTTTAAATGATTATTCGATTTGCTTGAATTTGCTTAAAAATATATTATATATTTAAATTTTGTCCAAGTTTTAGGAGTCATCGAATATATGTAATTGATTATTTGAAGAATATTATCATTTGATATTAAATAAGTGCTTATCAATTTCGGTGAAATACATCCATTAAATAGAAAATCGGACAGTTGGATTCTTGTCGCTTTGCTTGAAAATAAAGGAGAGGGCCCCATTCCCATAGGGTTAGACCGGCTATGAGAAATAAATTGTATTTCTACTAGAAATCTACTTCTAAAGACTGCTTGACAAAAGAGATCACTGGAATCAACCAAGTCGAAATGGCTCAAATAGGAAAAAAATAAGACAAGTGATATTGCGTATGAATCGCCTGTTATTTTCAGTTTTTTGAAGCAGTTTGAACTTTTCTGCTGTTTAGTCATAGCTTTTTTTTTGAAAATATACCATTGTTGCTAAATAGTGGAAAATGAAAATGATAAATCTGAAAGGAAGGATTTATCTTTGTTGAAATATATTTAAGCCATACATTGCTGGTACCAATTTTTAATAGATTTAAACTGTTAGAAAAACTGTTAAAAAAAATTTAAATTTGAAGCATCATTTAGTTTATTAAAAATCTCTATTTAGGTGTCTACAGGACGGTGGAAATGCTAATAAATCACCAAAGTATAACAAAAGATATGCTTGGTGAAGGCTGGGCTGCTTACATTGAAGGTGCTGAAGGCACTTCTGCTGAATATTCAAGGTATGTCCTATTTCTTCAACATTTTCTTCATGATAATCAGAAAAATTTTTTTTCCAAAAATGCTCACTAACATTGGTTGAACGGGTTCTGCTAGCTTATCGCACCAGCCAAATTTTGCTAAGAAGCCAGAGAAAACTTGATGATACAAGGCGAATCGTCAACGTCACCTGGATGGGTATAAAATAAACTGTAGATTTTCCATTTTTAAATTTCTTGTTTTCTTAGCCAAAAAATCTTTTGCCTTTTGCATAACAATTCAATTATAATAATTATATTTATCATTAACCTTTTATTACAGCTTATAATTTCTTGTCATTTTTCTTGGTTTATTTCAGTGAAATTTCACCAATTATTCTTGCTGCACACTTAAACCAATTCGAAATTTTGCAAATGTTACTAAGCAAGGATGCAAGAATAGAAAAACCTCATAAATTTTCCTGTATTTGCCCAGTATGTGATCGCGAGAGGTTGATCGACTCGTTACATCATTCTTTAAAAAGAATTAATACTTATAAAGCCTTAGCAAGCCCAGCCTGGATGAGCCTTACAAGGTTATATTTGAATTGCAAATTTTGGTTTTCCTATTCTGAATATTTGAGTAATACAAAATGTAGTATGAAACTTTTCTCAAATTTTTCCTATCTCTCTTAATCGTTTCTAATTATGATTCATTCAGTGATATTAAATATATCAATTCCGGATGTATCAGGTCTAGAAAAAAAGTGCAGAAAATGAATTAAGCCCTCCTCCCCCTCTTCCCCCCGTACATCAAAATTTTGGCTTAAAAACCTAAATCTAAATTAGGAAGTGAGGCATTTAACGAATGAAAATTTAGCTTATTAATAATGTTCCTAAATAATCAAACTTTGTTTTTTTTACGGACGAAGGGAGTTTCAGCTCAGATCCAATATTAAGCGCATTTAAACTTAGTTGGGAGTTGCAAAAGTTGTCAAAAATAGAGCATGAATTTGGTGAAAGATATATTCAGGTATAATTTTACTTATCAACTTCTAATCTGTGTAATCTGTTCTTCTGACTGATTTCGCTGATTATTTAATTGAAATATTTTCGCTACATATAGAGGTACAAGCTTTTTTCAGCAACTGCTCGATTAACTTATAATGATAAAATATTTTCGTTCAAGAGAAGCCTCTTCGCCTATAAAGATTGTTTCCGAATTATGTTAAACAATTTAAAAAGCCACAATCTATAAAAAGTGATTTAATGAATAGCCCACTACGTTAAGAAAAATAAGTTCAAGAAAATATTAAAGAAGATTTCATTAAGTAGTATCACAGAATTAAGTAATGAAATTTAGTTATCAGAGCAATGTACTCAATACGCATGTGACTTACTCGAGCAGTGCAGAAGTACAGAAGAAGTAATTGCTATATTAAATAAAGATCAAGCAACAAATAATGATACCGTCGAAGTATGGTCATCAAAATTAAGTCTATCAAGACTAAAGCTGGCTATCAAATATGGACAGAAAAAGGTGAATATTGGTAAATGTCAAAGAGTCAAACCCGCTTTTTTCTTAAAGGTAATCATGTGCAATAACAGCTTATAGTTTGTTTCACATCCGCATTGTCAGCAGTTATTAACGTCGATCTGGTATGAAGGTTTTCCTGGGAGGCAACAACGAGGGTCAGCTTGGAATCACGTTATTTGCATCATTCTCATAATTCTTTGGCCAGTTCTTTCTCTCTGCTATATTTTGGTGGGTCCACTGTTAATTAGTTTACTTTTTATTATATTTTTTATTTTTATTTTTTATTTGTTTTTTCTATAGTTTTATTTTCTTTCTATTAGATCAACAAAGTATGATAGTCATCAAAATCTTAGCTTTAAGGTCCTAATTTAAGCAAGCAACTTTTGCTCATATTATATATTTAAGCAAGCAACTTTTGCTATAATTGTTTTTAAGTGTACTGATTATTCTTTCGATAGCAAAAGGCCTTTTTTACGCGAGTATTGAACCGTCTTCTTGATATACTTCTAATGACACGAAACTCAAAAGTCGTTACGGTTATGCTCATTAAGTTTCATCTTAAATTTCGTCAGTATCGCCAATCCATGTTATATTACCCATTACATTTTGTAGAACAGTATAGAATAGAATTTTTTCGGACTATTTTTATTTTCGGACTATTTATAAATATATAAATATGAATTTTATTTTAAATAGATTATTTATACTTCATAATTTTTATAAAGTCCAATATGTTATTTTCCACCTTATTTGTACAGAATTTAATTTAGATTCCGAAAAGCAGACTTGGCCGAATAGTTCGCGCACCTTTTATGAAATTTCTTTATTATTCAATTTCTTTTGGTTGTTTTTTGGCTTTATTGACATTAGCAACATTCGAGCCTTACCGATATGAGAAAGGCGAAATTAAAGGTGGTAAGAAAACTCGTGCATCGGATCGTGGACCACCACCAACGCTTATTGAACTGCTTGTTTGTGTCTGGGTTTTAGGTTTTAATTTTAAGATTATATTTGATGTACTGCATGAATCTAAATAAATTTTTAGAATGGTTGTGACTCGTGATTTGCTTTCTACCCCAGGCAATAAATTTTATTCAAGCTTTCAATATAAATTTGATATATTTGATTTAGTTTAATCAAAATAAAATTAAATTAACTAAGTTTAACTAAATTTAGTTTAATTAATTGAATTAAATAAATTTAATTTAATTAATTTGCGCTAATATAATTATCGCTATTTTGACAATGTACTTTTTCTTCTTTTCTCGAGATTAATCTAGCAAAAGGGGAAGGAGATTTTAATGATTGTTTCAGCAAAAAATCACTAAATTCATTGGGAGGTCTAGTAATTTGTATACAAAATAAATCATAAATTTATTAAAAGGTATGCTGTGGTCGGAAGTGAAGCAAGTATGGCAGGAAGGCTTCAAAAAATACGTTTACCAGTGGTGGAATTGGTTGGATTTCATTATGATGTGCTTGTACATGTGTACTATTTCTCTCAGGTTGAAATTTTGGATTATTTTATTTCGGTCCAATATTTTTAATATTTTATTTGCTATAAATCTCTAAACAAATCTCAAATACCATTATTTGTTTTAATTAAATTTTATTAATTAAAAATTTACGAAAGATTCTCCTTTTCTTACAAATATTTCTACAGATAAGATAAAAAAGCTTAGCGTGCATCGATAGTTCAGTCGTAAAGTAATTATCATCGAAAATGAAAAAATTCGACCACACATTTTGTCGGATGGCAGTATCGCCTAACGGAAAAAGCAAGAGTAGAATGGATCAGCGAGTTGTTGCTCAATTCGGAGCACCGAAACTGATGTTCTACTCACGACAGGAGTAAACCTGTCCAAAAATCTGGATAATGCTTGGCGACTTTCCTGTATTTCTGTCGCCAAAGGATTTATCTAGTCTGACAAGCCAGAGGAGTGAGTTTAACTAGCAGTGGTGAGTGCGCTTAAAAAAAGTGCTTATCATCATCATCTTCCAGTAGAATCTTAGAGGCCATTTTTTCTTCTAATAATAATTTCTAATTTATCTAATAGCACTGGGCTCTAGGATGGAGAGTCAGAAGTCAGTGAAGTCAATTTCGAAGCCTCTTGGAAATTGTTTTTTATAATTTTTTTAGAATTATTTTTGATGATTATAAATAAATAGCCTATTAACAATTGACTATTTAAGTTTATAGGGCATCTGCTTTTTATATATATAGTATGTCACCTTCACAAGATGTTCGATATTCTCTTCGTACTCACTGGAATGCATATGAACCAGTGTTAATTGCAGAAGCACTTTTCGCTGTCGCTAATATTTTTAGCTTTGCACGCATTATATATTTATTTCAAATGAATCCTTATCTTGGTCCACTGCAGGTGAATAAACTTAATAATCATTTTATCATTTATTTGGTTATTACTTAGTCGTCAAGGGCTACGAAATTCTAAATTAACTGATGAATTACACTAAACTACACTTAAAGTAATTCGCAAGACTACAATTTGAAAAATGACTCCAGGTTTTCAAAAAATGGAGAAGCTGTTTTCGTCTAAAAAAATATTAAAATTTCAGATATCATTGGGATGTATGTTAGTAGACGTTGCCAAATTTTGCCTTATATTTGTCCTTATTATCAGCAGTTTTTCCATTGGATTGGCGCAGTTATACTGGTATTATGATCCATACACACCAGTATGCTTATCGCCAACTAACTGTCGTGAAGATTCAAATGCATTTGCATCGTAAGTGTCATAAATTATTTCAGTGAGGTTTATCTATTATATTTGTAAAAAATGAGTAGCATAAAATAGGTATTGTTTTTGAAATGCGCGAAATTTGGGTTTGATTCAACTATGCTCGATGCCAACATATAGAACTTGAAAAATTACAGAATATTTTGTAACTGAGTGAAATCTAAAAATTTATAAAATTTTCCATAAATTTTGCTCATATCCACTTTTCTTTCGAAACTTTTTTTTCCATCAAACATCTATTACTATTTCTAAATTTCATTATTATTTATTTATTAATTTCATTATTAATATTATTATTATAATTATTGCCAATTTTTTTCTAAAAATATTGTAGTTGTTTTGCCTTTTTTTACTTGAAATTTAAAATTCAATTCAAAAAATTTGAATTAAAAAATTTATAAAACAGATCTAAATAGTTTAAACTTGTCGTATAAATTCAAATTTAATACAAACAAAATATAAGGATTAACTAAAATAATTGAAAATGAACTATTTTGATATTTTGGTTTATTTTTGGTCGAAAGAAAAGAATTTGCAAAAGAATGAAAATAAAAAGAATTTCTTCAGGATTGCAAGCTCATATATAACACTTTTATGGTCACTATTTTCCATCACAAAGGTTGAGGACACAAATGTTCTCGAGAATCATCATTTTACTCAAAATGTTGGCAGTGGAATGTTTATCGTTTATCACATGACATCAATAATTGTTCTACTAAATATGCTTATAGCTATGATGTCACATTCATTTCAACGAATAAATGTTCGTTTTTAGCGATTAATTGGTGGTCAGCATTCACCGTTCCTGGTTAAGCAGCGCCACTGGCTTAAGATGAGGCATTTAACGGCAATCTCATAGTGTCAGATGATGGAAACAGTTCATGATACTTGGATTAATTATAAAACACCCAGGCGCATTGCCTTAGAATATTTACAACTAATGATTTTCCCAGTTGATTAGCTTTTATCATTTTAATCCAATCATTAAATAGTAAATTGTTTCCATTGAAATAAAACAGTTTCTCACCCAATTAGTTACCACTGTCTTGCTTTCTGAACATTCTTTTATTTGTGCATTTAAAATTTTATTGTCTTCGATTTTTTCGCAAAAAATATTCTATTTTATTTAGGATGCAGCTGATTTGGAATGGAAATTCCATCGGGCGAAATTATGGATGTCGCATTTCGATGAAGGATCGAGTCTTCCACCTCCTTTTAATATTATCATTACACCTAAAGCGATTTATTATTTTTTTTGTTTAATCTTAAGTTTTTTCAAGTGTTGCATCGGCAAATATCAATTTAGAAAAAGTCGTACTCGCGCTACTATAAAGGTTTCAAAATTTTTCTTTATTTTTAAGTTTTTCTCGATCATCTAAAAATATTGAAGGCTTTTAAAAGGCTTTCTTAGAATTTTTAAAAATCGAAGCTATTCCACTGATTGTTTTATATGGCCGACCGCTTCCTTTTTTCAACAATGAAATAAGAAAAGAAAAAAGCATTTTTTGAAAAATTTCTTCCGAAAAATTTTCTTTTTTTTTTAATTTTAATTTTAATTTTTTAATTTTAATACTGTTGCGAAATGGTGAAATTATTACGTTGCTTTTTAAAGCATACGGAAAACGGACCTATTTTTCAACAAAATTTATGAATTATTTTCAAATTTCAGCGACCTGGATACAGCAGAAAGCAACGTGTCGTCAATAATTTGGATGAAAATGATATTAATGAAAGTCCTTTGACCTATGCTGATATTATCCGAAGGTTCTTAATTATTATTATGAATTAAGGTTTGGAAGACTTGAAAACTGTAAAAATTTAAACTAAACTCGATTGAATTGTAGGTTAGTAAGTCGATTCATTCTTCAGACTAAAAAGGATATCAAAACTGATAATGTAACTGAAGATGATTTGTTGGAAATAAAACAAGATATCAGAAGCTTGAGGTTCGTTCCGTTGAATATTTGTCGATTTTGCGGATATCTATGAGAAATGATTTTTAATCGATTTGTATTTTTTTTAACGATATTTCACTACAATAATATAGAAGAAATTAAGTTAATCTAGAAAAAAAAGGAAAGTTCATTTCATCGAGCATTGCCAAATTTTTTCATTAAATTGGCCATCGAATTTTTTAAATTTTAGATTTTCTTAAAATTGTTCAAATTTTTTTCGGTAAAATATGGATAAATTTTGCAGAAGGCCTTTTATTGCCATTACGATTATTATTTCAGGTATGAGCTTCGCGATGATCGGAGAAAGGAAATTGTTCGTTCATCCTCTCACATTGATGCTGTTAAACGAGATATAATGCGTACAATGTCAATCACTAGATTTAGAGATTATCAGTTAAGCCAAAATTCAGTAAACGATATTTTTGAGCCAAAAGCGCTTGATGATGAATCAAGGCAAGTAGCGATTTCTCGCTAATGCGAAAATTCCTCTAATTTCAAAATTTCAGTTTTCTTAAGTCCACTAATTCAAATTTATTTATGGGTAGTGGTAAAGTGGATTTAGCAATTATATATTTAGGTTTTATGATGAAGCACCATCTGAAGAGGTCAGCCATTTGCCTTCTTTGCCAGTATCTTCAATCGATGACGACAAAGACAGTGGTGAAGTTGGAACAAATGACATATTTGAACCTCGATCTACTTCAATGCAACGCTTTCTAAATCAACGACGATCATTTTTCTTAAGGCATCGATTGCAAAGTTTGTGAATTCTTTTTGAATTCCAGTTTTTTCCGACTGATAGATGAAATTCGAGTGCATTGCGCAATCAGAAAAATATTGAGTAAATAGTAAATCATTCTCAGTTTATACAAAGGATTTTACTGTAAATATGCATTTTCAGTGGCAAAGAACGATTTTCAGCGATCCTTACGATATAGAATAAATCGAGGAAATCCAGAGAGAATCATTGAGAGGAAAGCCTTGTCGAATGACAGCAGTCCTTCGTCGCTCGAATTAATTAGGGTAATAGAAAAGAATCATGCATCATGACGAAGAAAATTTTAAAAAAAGAAATAATGCAGAAAATTCAAAAAAATTTTTTTTTTAATTTTATGCGAAATAGTCTGCAATGATCAGGCAGATTGCTAATGTTTCGTATATATGTTTAGTTTTATTTCGTAACTGTGGTAATAGGATAGCCGAATGGATATTGGCTCGTGAGGCAAGGGCTGCCAACGACAAAAATGAGCCTGTTATAGAAAATTCTGACTGGTGACCCACCTGTATCTCTGTCGCTAAGTGATTGCTAAAAATCTCTAACTGTATTAACAGTCAGCAGAATTAGTCTAGCCAGAAACGATGCAACCTAACCATTTTATTTGTTTTATAACTGTGAATAAACTTTTGTTTTTCAAAAATCTTTCTAAATAAAAATGGAGAATAAAACTATGGAACCAAAGACGCACTTATTTCCTGGATATTGCATATAAAATAAAAGTCAATTTTCGTTTTTTGCAGAAATTTCGAATAGAATTCAATCAGAGATTAGATTCGATTATCGAGGAATTGCAAACCTCTAGGAATGATATTGCAGAACAGCCATCAATTTGTCGACAAAACTTGCCGACAAATTTATGAAAATCGAACCAGGTAACATAACGACTAATAAATAGCTAAAACTGCGAACAAAAAGTCGTCAACAAAAATTTTCGAAATTCCTTAGAAATTTTATTTGAAATATATTTATTTCTAAAACTCCATGAGTGTTTTAATTCGGAACAATCAATTAGGAATAAAAATTGATAAAATATATATCGCTGTACAAATTTCCACTATTGCAGTCGTTCTTAAAATTATTAGTCTAATAATTTTTGCAGAATCAGTTTCATTAATTTATGAATTTATGGCCGAGGTTTCTGGTTTTATTTCAGTTTGGAAAAAATGAGTAATGTCATTCAAGGAAAGAAAAAAGACAATATGGTGTGTCAAGAAAAAACAAGAAAAATATGAAAATAATTTTTGAACGAAAAGATAATTGGAATTTTATGAATTTAACGATACCGTTATGCATTATAGAATAAAATCACTCTAATTTTATTGTTGCAAAATTCATATATATATAATAAAAAAAACTTTTAATAAAAAATTAATATTTTCGTAGTTTAGAAGAAATTTTCTGTATTATGAGATATTTATTATTGTATTTGGTATAAACAGTTTTCCAATTTTAAAATTCTTAGTGCCTAAAATAATTTTTTCACTAGCAAATGCTAAAATGCTAAAATTTATGACCTTTTTTTCGATGTTTGTAATTATGTAATAAATTTTTCGATAGTTATGTTGTTTTTTTTGTATTTCAAAATTTTGATTTCTGGAACGACAACTTTCTTAAGGAGAAAGAAGAAAATTCTTGGACGATATAAATTGGCTAAATTTTGCTAGATTTCTCAATAACATTTCACTTTATTTCATTCTATCCATTACATAGTTATGCATTACACAAAATATTCTCAGAATATTCGTTGCATTGCTAATTTTAGAACAGAATTGCAGATTTTTTTATCAAAATGTTCAAAGCGCCCGTTCAGCCTCTTCCTCTTCTTGACGAAAATCCTACCTGTTGCTTTTCGAGATACAACAAATTAAGAAAAATAATTGAAGGACTCCAGAAATATTTTATATGCTTCTCGCCTTCCTCTTAATAGCAATTTATTTATAAAACACAACTTCAAAAATACAACCTGGATTTCATTTCAATTCGTCGAATTAAATTTTGTAAATTTACAATTTATAAATTTTATACAGTTTAATTAATAATTAATAATTTATAAGTATAAATTAGATTTATACTTATAAAATTCTACACGCTTATTTTAAATTAGGTTGTTCAAAATTTTAGGTTAAATTTGAATCCAATAGAATCTAATGGGCTAAAATTACTAAAACCTATATGCAAACTAAACAAAGGACTCATGACTTCTTTATTCGTACTTAATTACTGGAATAAACTATTGGATGATGTAATTTGTGCATATAGGAAAAAAATTAAGTAATATCATGTATGATATTATTTAAAACTATTATTATTATGATATTATTTATATAAATATTATTAAATATTATTTCATATCATGCAGAAAGTTTGAAATCTTGATTTTTACCATTCAATTAAGTATAAGTAATATATTCACTTTGATTTGCTATTTTGTAAACTACCGAACGATCCTCTTTATTTTCTCTTTACTTTATTAATTTTTCCTATTTTCTTTTTTTATCAATAATTTCCATTATTTAATATTTTAATGTTATTTAGCTGTTATTATTAATATAAGCACATGGCGCTTGCCGCCTTGCTTAGTTGACTTTTCGATGAACGAATACCACAAATTTTGATTATACGCGTACTGCAGACTCCAGTTCCATCAAATATTATAACATTATTATTTCTATCATCAACGATATTTATAAACAATGCTTCTGCCATCATCTGCCTTCATAGCCTTAAAGAAAAATTAATCGAAAGTAACTGCTAGGTACACAACTATTTCTCCATTCGCAGTGACTCTCTGTTGAAATGAAGTATCTTATCCTGGTTGCCAATGAAGTTACCCAAACTAAAAATGATTGAGTGCTTTTGAAAGAAGAATGCGGTGAGCACATGAAAGTTATGTTTATTAATATTTTATAGCTTTTAGAAGAAATTTTTTTGCATTGTGAGATGCTTAGTAGTATTTAAAGCCAAAATTTGAGGCAATTCAGACTTATAGATGGACAACAAAAAAGGTTGGTTTTCTTTTAAGTATAAATTTAAGACAAAATTATTTAATTTTATCTTGTATACCATTCGTTTTTCAATGATTTTGCTAATTAATATATAGAAAAATAGATTGTTTCTTTGATTTCAGAATATCTTTTTGAAGAATTTTTTTTCGAGAGCCATTAAATCATTGAAAATTTGAATAGATAGGAACAAAAAAATGTTAATAATGTTTTTTAAGTTGTTTAAATTTTAATAGAATTGCAATAGGAACTTGCAAATTGAGCGAAAAATGCAAAAATTTATAAGACGGCATAATTATTCGATATATGGGTTTCGGAAAATCCTAAAAGATTATTTTTGGAGGAAATATAACTGCCTGGATAATTTTGAAAAACAACTATATACTCTGCTAAAGTGATGCAAATTACATGAATATTTCATTAATTTTGAAAATTAGTCTTTGTGAATTCGGCTTCTGCTCCCGATAAAAGTAACCATGCCACCAAAAAATCTAGGTGGTTTCTAATGACCCACTTGTATTTCTGTTGCCAAACAACTTGGCACATATTTCTACCCATATTAGTAACCAGCGGAGAGGGACTAGAAATGTATGCTAAATTTCAATCCAAATAAGCTTTTTGATTTTGCAAAAATAGAAATATTGAAAAAAGAATTTTCTAGTTGATTTTTATTAATTTTCCATAAAATTTTATTTGTAAAGATCCGATATTCGGCTTAAATTTCGTGAAACACTTTCTTAAATTCAATCAGTTTTATCAGTTTTGTCAGTTTTCTCAGTCGTCCGTCTATAAATGCATTTTTTGGAAGATTTCAATAAAAATTCCAGCATGCACGCCGACTCACTTCATTGGCCGCTCATTTTTTTTTCTTTTTTTTTCGTTTCAACACGATGAATTCTTTCAGTTTTAGAAATTTTTTTTATATTCTTTCGATGACAACCTTCATTTTCAATTTCATTTCAATGGAAAACTTCGCATTTTTTCAAATTTTTAAATGTGAAAATCATTTTTGCTAAAAATATGCGCTAAAAATAAGAAAATTTCAAACAGAAATCGCATTCATACCAGTTTGAATAAATAATTGATAAATTTGAAAAATATCGCTGAAATAATGCTTTAAAGTGCAAACTGGAAAGAAAAAAAATTTGCAAGTTAAGAAATTATTCAGCATACATCTCGTGCAGTTTTTTATATCTATAACCGGTTATTGGATTATTGGACCGTGCTTAATCCTTAGTTAGGATTTTCAAGATTTCAAGAAGCGATATTTGAAATATTTAACAGTTTAAAATATTTTAAGGTTTAATTATCGATGTTTGAGAACTCTCATGTGTTATTTAACGATTCACCGATAAAAACAAAGAGATAACCGAAGTGAAACTGCTAATTCGCAAAGTACAGTTGATGAAAAATGAATTGTCTCTTTAACGGATGAACGGAGGATTATCGCTGAAATACGGGTAAAGCGGAAATTAAGAATGCATCCGATCATTTCAACTGAGCCTTGGTGCAGGAACTTCAACTTTTAAAAAAGATGAGGTTTCAAAAAGTTTTGACCTTCATATGGTCACATTAAATACTGATTACATTTCATTCAATTGCTTTTTAGAGCTTCAGATTCTATCAAATACTTTGTCATCGATTTGTTTCTAAAGACTTTTTTCGATTTCTTTTTCTGTGCTTGAATGAATGATTTTCGATAAATTTTCTTGATAAATTTTCATTCAATTTTCATGAAACTGAGAACAAAAAAGTCGTCGTATTAGGCTTGCAATTATCGTGACAAATTTATATTCATCAAACTTGCCAAGCAATTTCGGAAATAAACCATCGTTTCGCGAAAAACGACTAAAAATTGAGAATTTTTCCTCTCCTACGCTTTAATTTTCGTCTTTCAACCAATTGATTCATTCGAATTTGATTTAAAGTTTGATTAAACTAATTGTGCTTTCTTTTTTTGCTGACAGCTGGTAGAATAGCGAGATTAATAAAATTAATCGTTCCTTTCGCATGTCACTTAATAAAATTCTTGCGAAAGCGAAAAATTCTTAAGAAAATGCACCATTAATGTGAACAAAATTTTTTTCCTGAAAAATTAAAATTGGAGCAATCAAGCGACCATTTTGCTTGGAAATTTTATTGAAATATTCATAAATAAATATTTAAATTAACACTTTACAAATAAATTGCAAATGAAATGCTATAAAAATTGCTTGTGAGAATAATATGAGATTTTTTGCTAAACGTTGGTTTAAAAATTTGAAAAAAATAGAAAAGCAACAATGCCATACGAAAAAAATATAAAGAATTTTGAAATGGACAACAGTATATAAAGTTTAAAAGACTTTGATAATTCTGATTCGAGAATTAATTCAGGCCGAGGCTATCATAAATACAGGGCGAGTATTGCGTTCGCTCCAAAATTTGTCTTTAACATATGCTTGCAAATTTTTCGATAACAACGTGAATGGATAAATGTGATCATAAAATTTTCCTCAGACCTTCTTATTATATCTTTGTCGCATTTAGCAAAGCCGATCTATTATGCGTGACTTGAATTGCTTTTTTACTTGACGTCGAAGCTTTTCTCAATATGAATGATAATTTAGAATCATCGCTGTGGCTGCTCTTAGAAATGAATGTCGCCCATATCCACAGCAGTGAATGAATATAAATGCGTATAATATGAAAACTGGCATGCAAAAAACCTGAAATGTTAAGGTTGAGGATTCTAAAATTTACTTGCAGAAATGTTGCAGAAATTAAGTTCAAAGGTGAAGTTTGCAATCTAAGGAAAAAAGTCGAAAAATTTGCAAATGAAATAACAATTAGTTCCTCTAAAAAGATCATTGAAGAAATTTTCTGAAAAAAATTGTATTTATGAAAGGATTAAATGAAAATATTTTGCTATTGAATAGAAAAAAAATGCGAAGTAACTTTGCGTCAAAAATGATTCGTTAGGGATGATAAAAGAAAGAAAAAGAAACATAAATTATGTTTACTACGTATTTGAACATTCCACCTGTCACTGAACTTCGAAAGTAATCATATTCAGAAAAAAGCAGAACAAGAATGACAAGAAATGAGTATATATAGCCATAGTTAACGCCCAGCTAAGCAAACACTCCTCTCTGCCTAACAATGGAAGTGCAGAGTCGCATTAAAGCGTATAAATTTGTCGCCTATTCAGCAGTCACTTTTTCCATTGTTGCGGTACTTTCAGTATGTATAACATTACCTATGGTTTATAATTATATTCATCACGTTCGAAGGCAAATGCATTCCGAAATCGCTTTTTGCAAAGTTGGTTACTTTCTTCTTATCACTTTTAATAACTAACACATTATTGTTTCATTAATATCAAAATAATCTTTATAAATTTCTTTCATTATTATCATTTTTATTATTCTATTAGCTGTCATTACTGTTGGCTGTTATCAGTAAAAACTTTTATTTTTTTTCACGAGGAATTCTCTAATAAAAGCAAGGGAAAGAGCAATAGGTCACTAATCTTTTTGATTAATTAGATTTGAGACATAATTAGAAATTAACTAGTTTATAGGGATAGTTTTTATTGTTTTATTTACCGTCAATCGCCTTAAATGCGACGATGGTCCCTAGAAGGGTACGAAAGATCCTTTTTTCATTAATCACTCTTATAGAATTTTTACTATATCAATTATTATTATTATTTTTACTATAGTAATCAAAATCATCTTATCATTTTGCTGCTGATATTAATAATTTATTTCAGCATATATATTATAATCGATTTAAAGATTAATTTTTTCATGTTATCATATTATCATTATATTAATTTATATTAATGAGACATAATTCATTTGCTAACATAATCTACTTTTATTTTATCCTTTCATTTTGGAAAACAAATCTTAATTTCTCAAATTTCCGAAAGATATATAGAATATATATAAATATATATTTATATGAAAAATGTTCATCCGAAATTTTAATTAAAAGCTTATTTTTTAAAATCTATTTATTTATTTCTACATAAACATGCGAGTTAGCAAAAAGAACAAAATAATTTAAGAAAAATTAAAGAATTTAAGACTCAAATAAATAAATGAGGTTCTCAAAATTTTGTTTCATTATATTATGGCAGACATGAAATTAATTTGAAGTAAGTCATAGAATAAGAGCACTTTTCCATGCTTTCATTTTATTTTTTTTCGATTTAATGCGAACTATTATTTTCGCCTACTTTTTACTCATCCAAATTTCCCAAATCTAGTTTTCAAATTTATTTCCCAAATTTTAAAAAAGAATTGTTGAGGGAAAAAATTCTACTATTGCTTTGATATATTCCATTTCATCCTATTTTTTCCATGTTACTTCATAATAATTTGCAAATCTTTGGTTTAATTTCTTGCTTTTTTAAAACATAACTTATTAAGAGAAAAAGTGGGAACCATACTATTTCAAACATAATTTCATTGCCGCACATCGGATAGTTGATTCATTCATTCTATTAATTCATTTAAAAAGTAATAATTAGGCAATTTTTGTTGGCGATTCAATAAATATGAAGAAAATTATTGGAGAAAATTCAGAAAAGTTCAAAAAAATTCGAAAAAATTTGATTTCTAGCAATCAGCAAAAGAAACATGGAGCGATGTTGATCGATTGGGTCGATTCCCAATGATGGGACATAACAGGACAACACGTCAAACGAATAGCTGCGAAGGATGTTGTTTAACGGGACCACCTGGTCCAAAAGGACCTCCAGGAAGGCCGGGAAAACCAGGAAAGCCAGGAGCACCTGGCCTGCCCGGAAATCCAGGCCGTCCTCCACCAATGCCTTGTGAGCCAATCACTCCACCACCGTGCAAGCCGTGTCCACAAGGAGAACCAGGCCCTCAAGGTCCAGCAGGGCCTCAAGGAGATGCGGGTCCAGATGGCCCACCTGGCAACCCAGGAGCAGATGGGCCGCCAGGTGAGCAAGGACCACAAGGCCCAGACGGCCCACAAGGAGAAGCGGGACCTCCAGGACCAAATGGACCACCGGGAGAGAATGCTCCAGACGAACCACTTATCCCAGGAGAACCTGGAGAACCAGGTTATCTTTTACTTCACCATTTTTTATCTTTTTTTAATAATAGTGAATAGTAAATAGTAAAGACAATATACAGAAATATATATATATATAATATATATATAGAACGATATAGGGATTTAATTCCATGATTTTAAATTTGTAGTTTTGCAATTTTAAATTTTTTGACCAATTTTAAAAATTACAGGAGATGAAGGACCACAAGGACCACCAGGACCACCAGGTCGACCTGGCCAAGATGGAGCAGTTGGGCCGCAAGGACCTCAAGGTGAAAAGGGAGCAGATGGAACGCCTGGCGCAGATGGAACACCTGGAACACCAGGGGCTCAAGGGCCACCTGGAAGACCTGGTGAAAAGGGTATCTGTCCAAAATATTGCGCAATAGATGGTGGTGTATTCTTCGAGGATGGCACTCGACGTTAAAAGCTCGATCAAAGAGTTAATACACCAAAAATTGTCTTTCTTAACAATTGCGATACTGCCTTATGTAGTACGAAACTAGTTTTGCAGCCGAATGCATGGATAATAAAGACAGGAATCATTGTTTTTATGATTTAATGCATTATAATGGTACCCATTACTGTTATTATACTTTATTAAAGAATTCACGCCAAGCAATCGCATAATAATCTCAGGCAAATGTCGAAAATCTGAAGAGACTAAAGCGCAATATTTAAAAATGCTTTTTGTGCCATAAATGCCACACTTATAATTTCATTTAAGCAAAAGCTACGAAACATAGTAAAGAACGACCAAGACAAAATTAATTACAACTTTAATATAACGATTCATCCCTAAAACTCAAAATTTTGTCAAAAATTCTTCATCTTTCAACGGCAGTGAAAATGTCTCGTGCGGTTTTTGACGAAATCCAGTTGAAAACAGAAATTTGTAATATTCATTGTTCTTCATTTAAAAATGAATGTTTCTTATGGTTTTGAGGAGATTTAATTGACAATAACATTTTGTAAACTCATTTTACATAAATATTATAAATATTAAATATTAATAAATATTAAAGCACAATGATTTATGAAATGAAATTTATGAAATTTTTTTTTAAAAATTTTAATTTTTGGGAATTTTTTTTACAAGTTTTTGAGTGTTCGGAAAAATATTCACTTTTTTAAAAAATAAGAAAAAATGGCGAAATAAAATTGGATGAGATAAGCTCGCATAATTTTATCTGGAAATAAATGAAATTCCGATTATTTGCTTCGATTCAAATAAAAATTTCTCCGATCACCGAAAATAATTAAGAAAGAAATTTTGAATTTTCGCAAGTAAAACCTCATATTTCAAGCGATATTTTGAAACGATTCAGAAAATCGTTTATTTTTTTTCAAATTTTAGCTAACGTCAAGGATTATTGTTCCTGGTTAACGATAAACGCGGAGTACTCAGCTGTGCGCTTTTTTTACGTGAACTTGCAACTCTGTAAATCTTCAATGGGACTGTGAGTCATTATTAAGGTGCAAAATTATTATAAGAACTGCATAAAACTAAATTCGATGATTAGGAAACAAAAATTTTTCGACATATTCTCTCATATCTGTTCCTTTTCTCTTACTAGAATCTTTTTTCGAATAGACATTTTAAACGGTACATGTGCACTTCGTACCTTTAAAACAATCTTGCAAATATGCTGTCAGTGTTCAACCAACTAAATATTTAATTTGGTTAAATAATTGTTTATTAAACTAAATGTTTAAACATTTCATTTTGTCGATCTTACAAGAAAATTAGCCCTTAATTTAGGCAAAATATGGCAGTTGATATAATCAATACTGATATGATAATGGCCGATTGCAAATAGCCGAGGCCAGCATGAGTGCACCGATCTTTACAATAATATAATTCGTCGACCTATAAATCGGCTAGAAGTGAAAGATTGATCAAAAAATATTGGTAAATACTTAAAAACTATTATTTTTTATTATAAAAACTATTTTTAGTAATTTTATTATTATTATTATTATTATTATTATATAATAGTATTATTACTATTTTTAATTATTAATTTAATAATTAAATTAATAAATAATTAATTAATAAATAATTAATAAAAAATGATCGAGATGAATCCTTAATTTATATCAAAACTTTTAAAGTATGCTGCATTTTTTCGTTTGATTGAAAATAGGCAATTAACAAACCAGTTTAGCTTGAATTATTTCATGATGAGAGCAACCAATATTCCTTCGAAAATTCTGCAAGTGTTTTTTCTTATCATGAAGAATCTAATAATGTTCTAAAGGAAAATCAAAATCAATCCTTCGCATGAAATCTATGGGAGTGATCGAGAAAAAAAGGAAAAACTTAAATAGGTAGAGTAAAGAGTAAAAATCACCACTTCTCGCTAGATCCACTAGTTGACAATAGTAATGCTAAAGTTGGGTCGACAGTGCCACGTAAAAGTGGAACATATATAAGCGAAAAAAACTAACGTAAAGTTTATTTCTCCATATTTGCGGTTCGATAAATCCAAAAGACTCCTCAAATGGTGGTGCAGGAGCGCAAGTACCATTTAATTCACCGCCATTCCACAGACAAGTCATCGGCCATTCATTATAACTTTGAAAATTTTGAAACATAAATCCAGTACTATGAATTTCATTGCAAAAATATTCTCTTTGCTTTAACAGATGATGAAGTTGAGTTGTTCTGAAAATTCCATCGAGAAAGGTTGATTAAATCGTACTTCTAATTTATGCGATACTATTAGAAATATATGCAATATACCAAAAACTTCTAGGAAATTATAAAAATCTAATAGAAATCTAAGTCGGAGGCAGAAGTGAAAAAATAAAAAAGCTACTTTCGAACATATCCACCATTCCGTTGAATTCTGGTCAGCTTAGCAAGTTGATCGGCCTGAGATTTGCGTTCAATCCACTCATATCGTCTGTATTCGGAACAATATTGTCGGTTAGTACAATCCAGTCGCCACTGACCTTCAAATAAACATTTTATTTTATACATTTAGCTGCGACGTATAAAAATAAAACTTATCAATATTTGCATTCATGAGTCCAAACTAAATTTATCATTCAATCAAGATTCTTTAAAGAATCGGCTGAATAAATTAGCTTTCCGCAGATATTTAATAAAATATTGTTTGATTATATATATTTATTTTAATTGCAATTACAGTAAACAGATTCGAAGATTTTGGATTAAATTTCAACACAATTTGAAGTAATAGAAAAAAATTCGGAATTAAGTGAAATCATATACAAAACATTTCTATTTTCTTAGATTATTTTCATTGCATTGCTTATTTTAACTCAATTTTCGGTTGCAACAACTTTTCATTAAAGGATTCTTTGCAACTGCTGTCGAATTTGGCTGCAGGATATTTATTACAAATGTGCTTTTTTATACTTCCTCTTCTGTTGGCCTCAATTCATATTAAAGCTTATCTCAACAACTGAAACAACTTTAGAAGAGTAAAAAGGTAGCACGAGGAGAGGTTAAAACAAACTAATGGATGATAAAGAAAATTGCTTCTTCTAATATTCTTGTTGGCAAATGAGGCTAAACATTCGAGGCGAAAGTACAAGGTTATGTATATATAGGCTATGAAATGTTTCTATTGTCTGAAGCAGCTGTTCTATGCATTCAGAAGAGGAACGCTACAAAATTTAAATGAAGTAGGATCAAATGAAATGGATTTTCTTGATTCATCCATCAGTTTAAGGTTATAGCTTAGCACATAATCAGTTGCGCAATTTTTCAGTTCAGAGGCAATTCTTTAATCAGTTTTTTTCTTAATATTATCATCCAATCGAGATAATAAAAGAATTTTGCAAGCAATAACCGTTTGTATTATTCAAAATATTTAGTACAAAGAAAATTAAGACCGATTTTAGCATTTGAAAATTAAAAATAAATTTAAAAATCCTGCATTTCTGAAAATAGATGAATTCACCGCCAAAATTTTTCATTTTAAAATTCCTTCTTTTTTATTTCTAATAATTTTTAGAAAAATATGCGAACACAATCGCAATGAACCTCAAAAAAATGATAAAAGAATTTCGGCTAAGACAAAGTGAAATAACAAGTGCAGTGAAACACTTACAGTGGAATTAAATGCTCTTTTTCAGATTCTCAAATTCCTCATTTGGCCATTTCCACTTACTTTGGGATAGTATTTTGCCAGATAATCCTTTGAGGAACAAATGGATCTTAAGTATCGCTCGAATCTAATTTTCAAAAACAGGTTTCACCGTGTCAGACAGCAGAAATGGCCATTTCTTTTTATAATCGAGCCATTAATTTTGTTTTTTTGCTCTGTAAATAACATTAAATTTTTATTATTTTATTTTTATATAATTTTTATTTTATAATTTTTATCAATATTATCAAATAATTTCTTATTTATATTCTAATGAAACTGATTATTTTCATTCAAACTATTACTCAGATGATTCTACTAAAACTTATCCATTAAAATTTGATAAGATCGAAATTAAACGATTTATTCTTTCGACAGAATAATTTAAAAATATATTATAATATATTACTTAGAATTTTTGATACTTAATTTGCATTTTGGAATAATTTCAAGGTTATATATTTCTTCAAACCTTCACTCCTATTGTTGTCTTTTGAATAAGCATTTGAGTCCCTCAAGATTCATAACGATTATATATGTATTTGTTTATATGTACGTCTATTTGTTTATCTGGTTAAAATTGTGGATTCATGGCTATTCATTTGAATGCAATTCTTTAATCAGTTTTTTTTCTTAATATTATCGTCCAATCGAGATTGTAAAAGAATTTTACAAACAATAACGTTTGTATTATTCAAAATATTCAGTACAAAGAAAATTAAGACCAATTTTAGCATTTGAAAATTAAAAAAAATTTTATTCATTTAAAATTTAAGTATTCAATTCAGTAAAATGCTATCAATCGACCTTTTAAGATTTTTGATTGCAGATTAAATAAAATGATAATAAAAGCATTGAAAATTCAATTTTTATTAATATTAATTGCATTAATAATGCGAAAATTTTATTTTGGCTTTATCGCGATGAATGTTGTGAAATCTTGTAAATCGCAAGTTAGCTATAAAAATATGGTTCGCATTTATAAATTTTTTCTTGTGATAATCTAAAGTTGAGAAATGACGCGGTGACTCATACACTGCTTACAGCAATCAGTTTCATGCGACTTAATTGGTGTTAATTTGCCGTTAGAGATGGAATTCATGATGAATGCTGGAGACATATATTTATCCCGAATGATTCTCTGGTGGAAGGTGGAAGGATTTACCCAATAAAAAATGATATCTGCTATTAGAAAAAAAAATTTCTCTTTAAATTTTGTATCATCGACCTAATAAAGTGAAATAAATGAACCATTTTCATAAAATTTGAAATAAATAAAAATAAAACTTAAATTGTGGCAAGAATTTGGGTAAATAATTGAGAAGAATAAATACTGTATCATGGAAAAACTTTTTTTAGTAAAATTTTGTTAAAAATTATTCTATTTTTGTCTATTTATCAAATTTTATACATATATATATTTCATACTGTATTATTTTAGATATCAAAGGAAAATTTTTTAAAGGCAATTAAATCAATGAAAAATGCTAAACCAATTCTTGTAATTATTCTTAATCAACATGTTTTAAATATGACAACGAACTGGTTATGCAATACTGCAAACATGCTTGGTAATGATTTTATAAGAGTGTTATGATTGTATTTAGAACTGCACGACTATCGCCAAAATCCTTTCGAATGCTCAAAAATTTAGTTTGACTCTCGGATCAGTTAAATTGAACACAAGGTGAACTTAATTTACTTGTTCACTTACTCAATTTGAGAAAGCTCAATGCTTCACAAATTCAAATTCATATATAAAATTTTTAGATGGCCTTCTAAATTTTTTTAAAAGATGTTCACCATTTCTGATTAGGCTTATTCGCTGGCTTGTTAGACTATGAAAATTTTGCTAGGAACTGGATAAAAGCTTAAGTCGATCACTAGTGTCAGATTTCTAAATAAACCAACTTAGAAAAACAGATTTTTGGAAAAAAAAAACAATTTTTTTTCTTCACACAATTTATTATTTCATATGAACAAAATAAAATCAATCTTGCCTGAGCAATTTATTACCATTTTTCATACAAATTTTTTTAATCCTGAGCGAGTGCTCCAAAAGTCCAAGCATCAAAAATATGTGCAGACATTAGTCTTAGTCTTAAAATTCGAGCCTAATTCCGCACCAGCTAAGTCCTGGTTTTTACATAGTAATGAACGCATAAAAAATTATATAATTCGAACTTAGTACAATATTTTTTTAAAATGATCTGCCCAAGTTCTTGAAATTTTATTTTAGTTAGTATAGTTAGCAAAAATTGTGGCAAATTTGATGTGCTCGAATTTTGAATTTCTATTTTTGTTGCATTAAAAAATTGAATCTCCTGTTGATTCCTTTTCACTATGGGGTGATTAATTTTTAATGCCTCACCGCTTTTTTATGAGATTTCGATTGGTGGAGAACTGGTTCCGAAGGTCATCATTACATTTGTTTTTGTGAAATCCCTTCCTGTTTTCTGAAAATTGTAAGAGATAAGAAAATGCACGATTTTTAAGGGAATTATTAAAAATTAGAAAAAAAGATGGTTAATTTTTTCACAACTATAAATTAATTAGTTAGTTAAAAATGGTATTTTTTTTGCAAGCAGATGTCCATGAACAGACTCTGGCGATAACTCTCGATAGTGTATCACAAAAATATCTCGAAAATACTTGGCCAAAAGTTCATTCGATTTTGTGGAATGTTCCTTGTCTTAAGGTTAGTTTTATAGTATATTTTCTCTTTTCTGGCATAAGAAATTTTTCTAAAATGTGCGTGCAACGCGATGTCATGTTTCAATCTATTCCTTCGATTAAGAACGAGCCACTTGTGGTTTGAATGTTCTTGAGAGAAGTTCTGCCAGAAATTGAGGTTGCTGCTGCAGAGGGAAATTTACTTTCTATCTCTGGCTCTTTGGCCTTATTCTTATAGTTTTTGAGGTCAAATCACCCAAACTATGTGGAAATGGCGCAAGTTGTTAGAAGTTCGTGTCAATAACGCCAATCCTTTTTTTTTGCGTATAAAGAAAAAAAGAAAACCATAACATCAACTGACAACGTCGAATCAAAAACATTAAGAAAACATAGAACGTAGGAAAAAACAGTCAGAATCCAAATAATAGTACCATTTCTGTGAAAAGACTAAAACTTTAGATAACGCAGCGAATACTACTATTTAGAGACGGAAACAGGTAAACAGAGGGAAAACAGCATAAAAGAAATTTGTTTCATTGGTAATTAAAACTATGGCACAGAATATTGGCAAATTGAATCCCTTACCTTCAGTTTTATCGGCGCTCAAGCATAGGCAACATTTAGTGTAAACGAAGAGAATTTTGCAAGCACAATTTAATTTTCCTAATTTGAAGAGCATATAAATTTCTTTAAACCTATTTTTGTAGTTAACTGAAGGACCAATAGTCGGTATTTCAATTTTAGAAGGTATTTCAATGAATTTTAATTTGTTTTACAAGATTTCGAAAAAAACCAATCATTCACTTCATGAAAAAACCTCTGATAAGTTTTAAATCGCTCAAAAATTGGGTTAAAATTAGAATTTTTGAAAATTTGCAGGATCCATTTAATTATGGTGACGGTCAATACCAATTGCTATACTTGCTTCGATCCAATTTAGCAAATATTTTAATCGAGTTAAATTCAACATTTTGGATGATTCAACAAGTTGTCGTTATTTATTATTTTTATATACACTCAATAAATTAAATAGTTACGCAAATCTGCAGCAGTCGAACAGCCTGCAGAAAAGAACATGAACAAGATAAAGCCAGTATAAAGACTTAGGGTGATCGAAAGTACGTTGCTTTGACCATGATAAAGCACCATTAGTTTTTTGCCAGGAGTAAATCTATTAAAAATAACATATATAGCAGGCCTCCTATTTCTATGACCCTCTGACGAAATAGTTCAACTGTAATAGGCAGTCAAGGGATAGGAAGGCTTAGTGGGTTGTTGCTCAGTTCTGAGCTCTGAGCTGAACTAAGGTTCTATTCTCAGCAGGAGTATGTCCAAATATCTCAATTGCCTGTACAAGAATCCGGGTGATGCTGACGACTCATCTGTGTTCTATCGCCAACGGAATCTCCGGCATATTGCACAATGCGACAAGCCAGTTGAGCGAGTTTAAGAAAGGACGAGTGCTACTGCAAGAAGAAGAAGAGGAAATTGACATGAATAGAATTAAAATTAGCGATATTTCGCTTATCAAAGAAGAGTCAAGCGTGATGGACGACAATTCAAGCATCGAATAGTTCCATCTATGCTATTTTTGCCATTTTCTTAAAAATTTCATAGAGTTCCATAGAAATTTTTTTTAGGATACTTTCTGGCGAAAAAATATTTTCTCCTTAAATTTGTTTGCTAAACAGTTTGATATAATTTTTGATCGTTCATCGGAATCTTCAAACATTATCGCAGGTGAATGTTTCAAAGATTTTTTAAAATATTGCAAGTTGAAGAAAAGGTTTATTTGGAATATTTTATTTGGAATATTTGAAATAGAAAGTATTTTCAAAAATCGCCTTTAAAGGGGGTTATTATCTCGTTCGACCGACTTGTGGCGCAAAATTATTCTTTCGCAAGTTGGCGTCTGATCTCGGATACAAATACACTGTTGATAATGCTTACATGACGAGTTTGTGCGAAGAATTTGCTTTCTTCAAGTGTGCCTTTATGCCATTCAAGTATAAATTTCGTCATTCAAAGCAATATATTTTGGATTTTAATGATAACTTTTATTTTTTACTAGTAATTTTTATAATAATGATTTTAAGCATTGAAATTAGAATAAAAAAATAAATAGAGTGAGATAATTAGTTATTTCCAGTTAGGATCGTTCCACTGGCCATCAGTTGGATAAAATTATAATACCAGAGAATTACTTGAAGATGGAACGTAGCCCCAGTACCAGCCGATTCTCGATAAGTTATCAACTGAAGGGAATCGAAGCAGGATTTTCGATGCAGAATTCTAAGCAACTATCACTCTAATATCGGAAAAATAAAAAATGGAAAATTCGAATAAATGAAAATTGATTACTAACAGACTTTTCAAAGAAAGAAGGAATTAAAGAGTTAAGAGTTTCAGAATTATTGCTAATTGGAATTGGTTATTTCACGAATCGTTGCGTTCTCAGTTCGTACCTTCGCTTATTCAGTTTGATGGACATACTAAACTTGGTGGAAAATTGAATTTTATGAGATCGCTGGGATTTTATTTTTTGCAAAACCAAAATAATCAAATAAAATGTAATGTTACGGCGATTCAGGTGAAAATCCATTTTGAAAAAATCTATTCACGGCATAGATTTTTAGTATTAATATTTCATAAACGATTGTTGTATCAATTATAAGTTGCCTCGATAGAAAAGCATGGATTCGGTTCCTCTCTCAGGATGCGAATGAGAGAGTTACTAGAGTGGACTCAGTATGATTGTTGGAATCCATCTGTAGCGAGCCGAAAAAGAAATTCCGCATGCTAAAAGAAGGAAGCTAATGCATAAAGCAAAAAATATTCAATTAACCAACAGTAAATAACTAATTAATAATTAATAATAATAATAAAATAATAATAACTATAATTATAATTAAATAATAATAAAGAATATCTACAAATAACATAAATGATAATAAACGGATCCGTCGAGCGGATAAAATCGCACATGAGTGTACCATCTTCTCTCAGATACCACCTGTATAATATTATCACAAAGCGCTGGCTGCTTACGACATGTTCTCCGATGTCCACCACAGGAATCGACGCATATTTCGCTACTTGCCGAACCCTGAAGATTTTGAACGTATAAGAAAACCAGCGATATATGGACTTAGACGATGGAAAAAGGAATGGCTTCCATCATAATTAGCGACAACGTCGGACCGAGCAGCGCGGAGACGTCTTACCTTTATAGTTAACGGAGCCAGCTTAATCAGTAATGATGAGAGCTGTTAGAAGAATGGTAAAAAATAATGCATTTCTATAAATATAAGTAAATATTTGCGAAATATTTAAATTTAATTTTCAGGAAGCGAACAGAATTGTCGCTCAAAATAAATTTTTAGCGACAATACCTTCTCCTTCATTGTCGTTGTACAGTTATTTTCAATTCAATTTTTATCAAAATATCGTCGATTTAATGTATAAATTTAAAATAACCAAATTTTTCCTTTGTAAAGTTGTATTTCCTTATGCGCATTATTTTATGATTTCTATATAAATTTTTTTCTTTTTTTAAATAAATTATTTTAATGCAAAATTTTATGTGCATTCAGCCTTATTTATGCTAAATTTTTGGAAATTTTAATTTTAATTAAACAAATGAATTTATTAAAACCATTAAATTGAAATAAAAATAAAAAGAAAACTGTTTATAATTTACAAATTTATAAATTACAAAAACTTTAATATAGTTTGCATGCTTTTTTATTTACAAAAATTAATCGTAACCAAAAAAAATTAACTTTTATTGGAAATAAAATTTGATAACTTAATAATGCTTAAGGAAAATATCAAAACTAAATATAAAAAAATTGAGTAATTATGCATTTGATTTCATTAAAACGAATTCACAATGGAAGCAAAAAAACTTGGTTCCATTAGATTTTAAGTTCGGTTTAGTTCCAACGGTTTGTGTTTGATGGGTGGTGAATGAATGAGAATCGCACATCTGATGCATCCGCTTTCGTTCGGATAATGTGAACACAGCATAGGTAATATAAGTGATAAGCGAGTGCAAGCGATTTTTCGTTCCGAGCAAAATCTACATAAAAGCGTAAAAAAAGCAAATTTTAAAGCGAAAATGTTATTAATGATAGCAAAGCGAACGACTTATGAGATGGGAGAAAAATCGCCAGCTAAAACCTTAAATTTTATGCAACGGAGAATCTCAACGGTTCGTGAAAATTTGCTTTCATAACGAAGAAATTCAAAAATTTGACTTCAAAAATATCAGTTGGAGACAAAATTTTATCGGACTTTTCAGAGAGCAGTTACTGTTAATGTTAATGGAGTGACTGAACAATGATTACATGCAAAAATGGTAAATTTGAAAAATTCGCATCGAACCATTCAAGTGAATTGAATTATTTATATACCAATAAATAAATAACAATAAACCATGTCGGCTTAATCTAAGCAAACTCAGTTAAGTACCATTCGCTTCCATAGCGCCTCTGTGCCCCGTCAATCTATTACTGTCAATCAATAAACTGCCCGTGGCACTCTGGCAGCCTCGCAAGTGTCGTTAGAGCAATAAAAAATATTTTTTGCCATATTTTTTGATATCATTTTTATATAATACTGAGATAATTACAAAGAATTAGGGCGATTTCGCTGGAGTTCAAAATTGACTTTGACCTTTCAACCAATCTGCCCATCCCAGAACTCTGTTCGTCTGACTGTGGCAAAGCACCAAAATATTTCTTTATTTACTTAACGAATAATATTTATTATTATTGTAATATTGTATAACACTACTTATCACCAAATTAATACAGAATTTGTCACATTTCACAATTAACAAATAAAAATAATTAGTAGATTTCATCTGCAGTTGCCTTGTTAATTTCTAACTGATTTAAATCAACTGAATTATCAATATTATCAGTCGCTTATTTCGCATTTCTAAGCATACTTTTGAGTTCATGAGTTTCTAATTTGATAATTTCAAGTATATTTAAAATTTAAAATTAAAAATCTTAAATTTCTATTTTAAAATCTTCCCACAGAATTGCATCATTTGTCATAAAGTTAAGGAAGGCTTTCGCACTAAATTGCTATTATTATAATAAACAAGTATTCTCTGTTTCACCGATTAAGGGAAAGTGTGTGAACCCATTATTCTTAGGCCCATTTCTTTTTTAATACAATTCTTTTTTAATATATTTTTTACGCAAAATTTAAAAGAAAAATTTCAAAGCAAATTAAGACCAAATTTCACAATAGTCAAGAATTCATATCGAAGGAATATCAGCTTTACAATTATTTACAATTAATTTCGCAAAATAAGTCAAAAATACTTAAATTTAAATGCTAATCACGTTCAAAGAAAAAGTCAATCGCCATCCAAATGTCATTTACACAATAACGTTTCAAAAATGTATTTCTCAGCTGCAAAAAAAAGAAATTTAAAAGAAAAAAATATAAATGAAATTTAACAGTAATTAGTAAATTGATAAAACGATATGGACGACAAAAGCCTTTAAATAATCTACAAGATACCTCAGCTTCAACTGGGTCGATGCATTTCGATATTATTGCTTCAGCTGCATAAATGGAAATCAACCAATCAATCTGATTTTGAAGATGTTCACCGATCTTAAATTATAAAAAATAGCAATAAGTGATTTTAAAAAAAAAATTGGTTAAATGAATATATTTACACATTTTATAATGTATTTTTGAAATTTGATAATAGAAAACAAATTATTTATTTCATTTTAGATTTTAAATTTCCTGTGACTCACACTTATCAAAAGATTGCTAGATGATTCCACCAAAGTCGAAAGTTCATGGCATATTAGTTGATTCTGTTTTAAGGTGAAATTTTTTAAAAGGTTGATAATCTCTGTTCCAAGAATAAAAGATGTCATGCAAAACACGTTTGCAGCCACATGTGGCTTTGGACGCTGAAAAGATTTTGTCTAAGAATTTAGTTGTATAAATTTATATATTTAATAAGGAAATTTGAAGTTTATAAAAAAATATCACATGAACCTTGGAGGGATCCTTGTACAACATTGCCTGCATAATTCGACCAACTGGACTATTTAAGAATAGAGGCATGAAATGTTGATTAGTGTCACTTAACATTACAAAAGAATCAAGCATACGAACACTGAAAATGAGTTTCTAAACATCCTTTAATAATTATTTAATAAATATTATTTACAGTTTGCATAAACGATCCTCTGGTCAAAACAGAACGACCAAAATTTAATCGATGAATAAAGAAACTTCAAAACACCACGAATACGAAAAAAATTTGTGATAAGAAGATAAAAACGAAGATAAGAAGATAAAAATTTATTTATAATAAAATTTCATCTACAAGTTGAAATCGATGAATAAATTTGAAAAAAAAGGAAGGAGGAATTTATAAATAGAAGAAAATAAAAAACTTGCTTGTCGAAAATTTCATATCCAATGAGACCAGCTGCCCAAATATCTGCTTTACTATAATCAATCCACGTATTTGGTGAAGGGCAAGCTTTAGTCACCTGTGAATTTTATGAGATAAATATTATTAAACATTCCAGAACTAATATATGCTTTTTTACTGAAGAAGTGAAAATGACTTCGAAAAAATACAAAAATACCTCAGGAGGAAGATGAGCAATGTTACCGCCAAGGCTAATACCATCGTTAACATAATGTAGTTGCCATGTGTCGGTTGATAATGCATGACCAAAATCGCTTATTACTAAGTGTGGACATTGATCTACGAATAAAAAATAATTACTCAGACTGGAAAATGATTGAAAGATAACTATTTTTTCAGTGCCTTAGTTAAGCTTTATACAATCTAAATGAATATAAAATATATTTAAAACATTAAAAACAATAATTATTGGTTTATGTCAATGAATCGAAAAAAACCTATCCATGGAAACAATAAAATTTAAAGAAAATATCTGCATAAAATGGCACACCAACCATCTGAATCGAATTCCAGTAAAATGTTATCGAACTTCAAATCTCGATGACTGATTTTGCAATCGTATAAAAATGATATTGCTTCTAAGATTTGCGAAAATAACAAACGACCAATTCTATAATCTATACTGATACTACTGAGATAATCCTTTAATGACATATTGTACCTGCAAATCAATAAATTATATAAATAAATTAAAAAATAAATTATGAGAAATAAATTAAATTAAGGCAAAGAAAAGTAAAAATGAGGAAAAAGAAGGAAAACATAAAATCAAATTATTTTTAATATCTTCTGCAATGACAGGGAAATTACCTACGCATCACAATATATAATGTTTTTGGATTTATCGGTATGCACATATAATTATCTTTTGTAGGCAATAAAGCGGGAAATTCTTCTTCCATTCGTTGAAAGGGTTTCCAATCATCAAAAAATGCTGCATGCATCTTTACAATATTTGGATGTGAAATTTTTAGCCGACATCTAAAATAGCAAACAATTCTATTCAGCCAAATTGAACACCAATTTTCATAGAATCTATCGCAAACCTCATCATTACACCAGTCCCAAGAAAGTTTGAATCAATTAAAGGCAAAAGTTCACAACGATTTTCATCTAATGAATGCTCGACTGGTTGATTGAAATCAAAGTTATGGATGGCCTTTAGGGCAAGCGATGATTCTTTAGAACTGTGAAATTCGGAGACTTCAGACGATGATGTAGCATTTTTTGATGCAGTAGCTAACCAAAGCTCGTAAACTGAACCACTCTGTCCAAAACCAATCAAATCTCCTAAAAGATTTTTGACCAAAATTTCGGCTAAGAAATTTATTATTATCATCTCAAAGAAATAATATCGATTAAAATAAAAAAATATTCCATAAATAATATGGAAATAAATCTTTAAGATTATTATTATAAGAATAAGAATAGAAATAAAGAAAATATCAAACCGACAACATATTCTTTTATACAAAGTGGTAATTTAACAAGTGAACACTGTTTGATTTCTTTATTTGTAAAGATTTTCTGAAAAAATGATGTAAACAATGAAAATGCTATTTTTTAAGAATTGAGGTAAATTACAAAATCACTGGAACTAAAAAAAGAGAAGAGTTTACACCAGGCAAGAACTGCAGGAAGTGAGAAATCTCGATTTTATCTTCAGGTTATATATGTTACCTCGAATTGTACTATATTATATTGATCTGTAATTTCCTCTTTAAATTGTTAATTTCTGTCACATTGTTTTATAATTAATTTTGTTTATGTTATATATATATTTTTTTTGTTGTTTTGTGTTTTCTTTTTCTGTTATCTTAATTGTTATTATTAATACAAGCACATGGCCTTGTCGCCCTGCTTGGTTGGTTATCAATAAATAAATAAATAAATAAAATAACCGACAGAACGGATAAAACCGAATTAAAATATAATTATTAAAAATAACTTATCTGTATTAATACAATAAAAAATTTAATAAATAATAATAATAATTTCAAATTGGTTTTATAAAAAGCAATAAATTGAAATAAGTTAGCTGATAACTTATAGCAGAAAATCGGACTCGAATAGTATCCAATACAATGCTATTCTTCGAAGGACGATAAATGTAGTGACTGAATTTACTTTTATGTTTTAAGCTGCCGTTAAAAATAATTTTTGCACAGATCAATTTGTTTGAAGCTTGAGTAATAAGATTTCGGAATATATGATGAACCTGAAAATGCTATTTTTTAAGAATTGAGGTAAATTACAAAATCACTGGAACTAAGCAACTAATAAAAAAGGATATAAATTCAAAACCTATTTCTCGCATTGTGCAGAATAAAAACTATTAAATTAAAAATAAATTGGAAAAACTTATTCCATTAACACAGACTATTGTTCGACTTGTAAAAGCAGATGTGTTCGATCAGACAATAGAACTGTCGGTTTTCAAAAAAGATGATAGAGATCTTCGCACCAATATTAATCACCAGTTGTCTCTCACCATGCTCGTTCTGCTGGTTGTTAAAAAATAAGAAATTTTTGCCAGAGATTCACTTGGGAATATGCAAGCATCCGCATATCCAAGTGGATCCTCAGTACCACTTGGATTTTTTAACAACTGTCTCACATCTGCCAGATTCAAGCTCTGAACGATGAAAAGCCAATTACAATGAGAGAGAAGAACAGTGAATGAAATTAAAAATATGCTGGAAATGAAAAACTAACAAGTTGCGAAATATTCGACAATAATCTCCCACTGAAACATTTTGTGGAATTTAGATGAAGAAGGTGAGTTGGCGCTTGCTTCCTGGCATGTCTCCTGACAACAAAGCTTCGGATGTGACGAATAAGGTTCGATTTAATTCGTCGAACAAATCGAAAGCGACAATCAGTTCGTCTTATAGCCATCCACGACATTGCTGGTCTCTAAGAAAATTCACTAAAGTGCAAAATCATGAAACAGTTCACGAAACTAATTAAATGAGAAGAGTCGAATTTACGACGTGAGCCTTAGGAAAAGTCAAAAAAAGAGAACAAATTTACCAACTTAAAATAATTCGGGCAACCATGATGCACCTCTCTCCATAGCGAAACGAATCCTCCAAACCAGTTTTTTTTCAGAATCGAACCGAAAAAACGTTTGATGACTGAGTTCGTACGACATATAGCACATTATACGGCATTCACTCGGAAATTTAAAACTCGGCTCGTTGAATTACTGGTTATGCAGCGTTGGCTACAAAGATAAGGTGTCTGCAAGCTATTCGCTCGGAAATTGCTGATAATAATAAAAGCCGTTCCTTTTTTCATCGTCTGAATCCATATATCGCTTGTTCCTCCATACGTTCGAAATCCTTCCCAACTGTATCGGTCCAGGTCTTAACTGAGACCCTCCTGGCTTTTGATGCCAATCATCACAAGTTCAGTAAGTAGCGAAATATGCGTCAACTCCTGTGAGAACGTGCCCTAACCATCGAAGGTGAGCGACGCTCTGCGATAACTTAATACAGGTGGTATTTGAGCAAAGATGGATATGCGATTTTATCCACTCGGTGGATCGGCAAAATGTACTTTAGACATAAGTGGTCAAAGGCTGATAGCTTCTTAATATCTTCCACTCTGATTGGCTATGTTCATTAGCCATATAACAAGATCGAGTGAACTTTGACTACATAGACGCGGGCTTTCGTTTTTATAGTGATTTCGCGACGAGTCCATAAAAGTTCTGTCAACCGGAAGAAAGCATTTTTAGCTGCCGATTGTAAACTATCTTTCGTTTGGCCATTTGGAATTAGAGTGAAGCGAGATATTTAAACTCTGGCACTTCCTCAACTAGAAAAGAAAAGAACTGAAAAAAGTAGGTGTTATCTGCTTCTTGTAAATAAGACGAAAAGGCTTTCGTTTCTTTCGTTTTATTACATTGAGCTGCAGTCGTTGGCACGTTATTTAGCATTATTTACATTTATCATAAAAAGGATTAGGCATCAGCGTATTCAAAATCTGTGGACTGATTTGTAAACCTTTTGAGTGCGGACAAGCGATGTCCATTATCAAGTCTAGTTGAGAAAGGACGCATTGGCGGACACCAGTCCTTATTTCGAAAGGGCATATCAGTCCCCCATATACACAGACCTGTGTCGATGTGCGCTGAAATGCCTTTACAACGCGAATGATCTTCTCTGGAATACTATCACATTCCAAAGCGCCACTCTATCAGTTGAATCGAAGGCAGATACAAAATCGATGAAATATGTGAAGATGAGTTGCTGATATTTAAAGCGGTATTTCAACACTCTTTTTAGCTTAAATGAAATATTTTAATTAGCATTTGCCTCATAAATGAAAGTAATGGAATGTGATAATAATGGAATGTTCTTATTTCCTCCAAATTTGGCTATATTTTGTCAAAATCCTTAATAAAAAATAGGATCGTCTATCCCTATTTGTAAATGAAGTTTTTTATCCTAATAGTATTTTTTTTCGTCGAAATCCACTTTATCGATTAACTCTACTCGAAACCCCGTTTCAAACTCAAACAAACCCTCTTGCAAGCAGAAATGGTGTATATTTAAATAATCTCCCTATGATATTTATTTGTATCTGATATTTCAAATCTGATCTTCAGTGCTGGCAATAAGCATTGATCAAAAAATTCGCCGCAAAAAAAACGATAAAAGTAAAGGCATTTGAGTGGACAAATCAAAAGGTCGAAAAGGAAATCAATATAACCTATAAAATAGGAAAATATTGCATTAATGTCAGTTCCTTGAAAACACTGTCTGCAATGTGGACGCTTTCTTGGACGGGAATAAGTCTGTAATAAAAAAATGCTGATAGTGCTGGCAGCTCTTATTTTATCGCTAAGTGGCTATAAAAGCCGATGCAGTTAGCCTGATCGAAGGTGACGAATGCTAATTACTCACTTTTGCTTTTATTTGTTTCTTAAATGAGAAATCTCTGCTATTATTGCTAATTATAATTATTCTAATTATTATTATTAAAATTTATAAGAAAAACATTAAATTATATAAATTAACTGCAAGTTTTGATTTTATAGCAAATATAATAAATTATCTAAATTTAGAAAAAGTTGGAATATTTTTTAAATGTGAATTGAGATTTATAGAGAATTTATCTCAAAAAATCTTTAATTTTCCACGATATCAAATATTACGTAAATCCGAGACCACACAACGTTTAAAACATCGATTATCGGCTTCTTAGGGGAACGAACAATTCGAATTATCTTCTCGTAATGCGATCCGAGTGCAAATTGGGAAGCATTAATATGTTTGGGACATTAATTTTACAAGATAAATTATCAAAATTGCTGAAATAATAATGCGCGACACGTGGTGCATTTTATTATGGCGGAAATCGACGGAAAAGAGAAAAAGACCTGAAATTTAAAATATTTTAAATATTTAATACATATTATAAATATTTAAAGTATACGAGAATTGTAATAAATTAAATTATGTTTGTAAATTTAATAAAATAATAAAATAATATTAAAAAATTTCGAATTTTTATCGATAAAAATTTTTTCATTTCTGTTATATCACCGTTATATCACAGTTCCATTGTAATAAAACTGAATCGTTTATATATCGTTTATATATAAAAACAAATGTTTGAGGATTTGGGCTCGGAAGGAGTCTTTTCTACCGCTAACGATGAAATGGTACCACACCTACTAAAGTATAAGGTGTGATCGGTTTTCACTTACGTAAGGCAAAGAAGAAATTTCCAAACATTACAACTAACACCTATTTTGGTGTTTTGACCAATTACGAAGATTCAAAGTGATTACAAGGGAAATTCAAAGTAATTGAATCGCACCACTTTAGTGAGAAAATTGCTGTCCTCCTTGTTAAATATTAAATATTTAATATTATGGATTAGCAGTTTTAAAAAACTTACCGTCCAATCGACGGAAAAATGGAAATACGAGTAAAAGAAAGAACAAACTTTGTTAAAATAATCGTATCTCATTGCTATTACAAAGTTGAAATGACGGGCCACGTTTGTTAAAAGCTGCGGCCGTGCTTTCAGCAGGAAGGTTTGCTTATTTATCTTTAAGAATCATTGAAAGGTTTCGCGTTAAATTTTTTGTTGTGTGATGTTTTTTACGCGGTTCTTTGCAGAATTTCCAAGTTTTTTTTTTAAATGAAAAATGAAAGATACATTTGAAGATTTATTTTTTAGTTCTAATAAGGTGTTTGATTGGTCAACTAAAAAATTATTAAAAATTAAAAATTATTAAATTATTAAAAATTATTATTAAAAAATTAAAAATTATATTTTGTTTTACAAAAGTGCATTTAGCTTTTGCTTATTAAAACACTTATTTTTTTGTCTAATAATTATAATTTTCGTTTGTAATTGGAATGAATCGCTTTCAACATGGAAATATTAATCAACACTGGGAAGTGACCCGCATTTCTATTTCTCTTTGGTGACACTTTGGTGAAAGATGCATCCACCCAATAACTGGTGACTAGGATGTAATTGGGGTGAGGTAGAAGGGAAGGATAGAATGAATCGCGACCTGGACAAATGACATTTTGTGAGAATTAGTTACCATAATTATTAAAATACAAATTAGTAAAAACGCGTTGTCAGTTAATACCTGGCATTTCTGGTTAGATCCTCGTTGACTATTAAGTTGAGCTGTTTTCTTCAGAGAGTCACATAGGTTCCGAAGTGCAAACAGGCAGGTCCTTAGCAGCATCCGGATTTTTTAATCGGAGTTTTTGACTCCTAAGTCCCGAATGTTAATGCTTGATTCAAAATTTAGGTAATGCAGGTTTGGCCATCCCTAAAGTTATTTATTACGAGTATGCTGGTTTTAACTGAAAACTGTAAGTTAGGAGTAATTTTAATCGCTTTGGAACACTTTTCACGATGTTTTTTTTATGAATTATGCTAATTATTTTTCGCCATTAATTTTATATAAATGCATTAATTTATTGTGGATTTTCCTTTTTTTAAATATTTTTCATGGATTTTTGTTTATTTATTTTATTTTTATTATTTTTGCTACTTTGTTATTATTTTTGCTTATAAATCGATTAATTTTCATTCATAATTTCGATTTCTTTTGGATATTAATTTCACATTGTTTTATTTAATTTTCGAACTTATTATGGACATAAAAAAACTTCGAATTCGGCCGACGCACCACTCTTCGTTGCGCGACAGTGTTGTCGAACAGCGAAAGCAAAGAAAGATAGGATAGCTCAGTGGATTGTTGCTCTCATTTCGGAGCGCCGTTGTCGGAATTCCACTCCTGGCAGAACTAAACTCGTCCTTCAAAAATCCGGGGTGATGCTGATGGTGACTCACCTGTCTGTCGACTAACAAATGAAGAACGCTCTTAGAAAAAAAATATTCTTCATCAATTTATTTTTATAAATTTTTCAGATAAAAAATTTGCGACTGAAATTTTTTTTCAAAAATTTTTCCACTTTCTACAACTGAATCATTATTTTCAATCATTTGTTAGTATTTTTTTTTGATTTTTAAAAAACTTAGCAAACTTTTTTCTCAAAAAAAAAATCTTTTTTTTGTGGGGATTTTTTATTGCAAATTATAAATGAAATATAACATTTTTTGAAAAAAAATTTAGTTTTTTTATTTCTGTTTTCAGAATCATATGAAATATTTTGGAATAATTGTCAAGAGAATATGTGATTAATTTTAAAATATGTTTGTTTTTTTAATGTTTTCTGTTTTTTCTTTTAAATGTTAATAAAAATATTTTGAAATTATTGATGAATTAGTCGTAGAAAAAGTGAATTTTTAAAAGGTCGAAATCGTGGAAATTTGATTTTTCCCCATAAATAACATCGATTCAACTCTTATTAACTTATTACTTTCCGTAAAATTTTGATTTTTTCTTACATTTCTCCCCATTCTTGTCAATCACTTCATTATAATCCTCTTTTTTTAATGAAATTCTAGTTTTTTTCTCATTTAATAATAATTAGAACAAGAATTTAATAAATTTATCGAATTATTAAGGAAAATTTAGAGGAAAAATAGAAGAAATTAAGTTACTAAATAGTCGAAGATTTTTTACATTAAAATTATTTAATAAAAATTCTTTAGTTGTTGTTCTAACTTAGGATTGACAGGGGATTCACCCATTTGTTTTCCTATCCTCAATTGATTCTTTGGTAAGAGAATGTCATCTTAATATTCAATGGAGCAGAATCTAACCATAAGTGATGATTGATAAAAAAATTTGGTACTATTTCTTCTTTCGCTGATTCTGTTGGCGATTAGGATCTTTGTATTACTTTTCGGTCCCACGCCATTCTATAATTATTTATTTATTTTAAAAGTTAGTCTTTATATTATTATTTATTCTTTTGCGTATGGATTTTTTGGACCAAATAAATTCCGCTTTTAGTTCTAAATTTTTTTCAAATACTTTAACGAATGAATGAAGTTTTAATTCTTGATTATAATTATTGAAAATTTTTAGTAAAAATCAACGATTTCTTTATTATCTGCCTAATTTTTAAAAAATTAAGCATTTTCAAAGGATAAGCATCTGTTCTATTCCTTATTACATATTTTATGGTAAATGACAATGACAATTTTTCAGTTTTTTTTATATTTTATAGTTTTTACTCTTTGCAATTTTTATTTTGATAAAATTTATATTTATATTTATATGCTTTATATGAACTTTTTATAAATTACAGATATTTTGGCTTTAATCTTAGTGTTGGAGTATCGAACTATTAAACATTTTGATGAATATGAAGATTTTTGTAAAATATTTACAGTTATTATTCTTCTTATTAATAATTTCTTTGGTTTGTTTTTTTTGTATTATAAAATTATTATATTTTGTATTATATTGTTTTTTTTTTGTATTTCGTTAATTAAATTTCTATTGCTTTATAATTTAACCTCTGTTTATCTTAAATTTTCTGATTTTAATTAATTTCAAGTTTGATTCCAATTCATTTATTTTAAATTATTTTTAAGAAGAAAAATTTTTGAAGATTCAATAGAAAATTTAAATGTTGATTGAAAGAGTTTTTTGAAGAAAAATTCTTTTTTTTCAAATTTTTCAGTTATCTACCTTATAATCTTAATTTTTCGATACAGTTGAAAGATGAAATACTTTCAGATTTCAACTGAAAAAGAAGTTTATTGTCGATCGTTAGATATACGAAATAGTCCTATAATGGCATTCCAAGACAAGGAAAATAATCAGAAATGGTCGACCTTATCGGAATGTACTGTTATGGAAGGTGATTTCTCAGTTTCAATGATTACAAGCTCAAATTTCACTCACGAAAGTTTTCCAGTTTTTAAACGATTGCGAGTTATCACAGGTCATTTGCTCATCTTTCAAGTTAGGTAAAAATTATTGCATTATTTATTTTCTATTTTCATTTTTGTTTTTTGGCAGAAATTTTCAATTTATCTACGAAATGCTAGGAAAGTTGCTTGCGAATAGTAAAAATCGTACTTTTAATATAGGTTTTACTTTTTCCATTTATAATTCGATGACATCAAAATCATCGAAATTCAAAATTGTTCATTTATAGACATCCAAATTTCTGATTTGTTTAAAGTTTTTTTCGGTTGCTTATCAAAAAATGAATACATTGAGTTAAAAATCGTGTGTAAATTTTTTTTAAAAATGAATTTGGTTTTGTTAGGAATGAACTTGAAAATATCAAAAAATTTGTTATTGTCAAATTACGAATGTAATTCTTTTAAGTAAGCAGAGAAGGGCAATAAATCTACATAAAATTAGATTTAGCCAGAAAAAAATTTACCTGGCTGATGAAATACCGTCGCTTTCTTCATTAGTAATAAGTTCGTTTTTTTTCGTATTTTCGTTGCATTGTTGTTTTTTTATTTATTTTTTTAAAATCCGATTTTCAAATATTTATAAGGGAAATATTTTAGTGCACTTCGTTCGCTTAAAGATATGTTTCCAAATTTGCGTATTATTGGTGGTCAGGAATTGATAATGAACTATGCGTTAGTTATCTATCAAAATACTCATATGATTGAAGTTGGATTACCTAAGTTAACAACGATATTTAATGGTGGAGTACGTATTGTCGATAATACTCAGTTGTGTTATAGTCGCTACATAGATTGGGGAGCAATGCTTGTTGGATCCGCGAACGATATATTAATTGATCAGAGTAAATCAACTGATTCAGGTATCGTCAGTTATTACGATTATAAATGGAATGAATAGAAGAGAAGAATGATCAAATAAATAGATTTTTTCATTAAAAAATTCGTAAAAAAAATTTGAAGAACATAATTTTTCGTAAATTGAGTCATAAATTTATGAAAAATTAAGTTTCATTGCATTCGTCAACAAATAAAAGGAAAATTTTAATGAAATAATTTACTTTCTTAATTTTATTTGCAAATCTTTTTTATAGCATTCAGTTTTTATTTCAAATTATTGGAATATTTGGATTTATCCTTCGTAGAATTCCAGCAAATTCCATTCAAAGAAATCCATAGTTTCCATTAAATTTCGAAACATTCCATAGTTTCATTGAGCTATCAATCTTTTCCTTAACATTTTCTTTGAATTTTTATTGTAAGAATATTTTCTGATCAATGCGTTTGAAAAATTACGTTGATTTCTTGAATAACGAACTGCAAAATTTTTTATTCTAATTTATTTTCAGAATTGTGTAATGATATCTGTGAGCCCGAAAATGATGAAAGATGTCATCGTGTTGATGGAATGCTTTCTTGTTGGGATACCAAAACTTGTCAATTAAGTTTGTTTTTTCAAAAAATATTGTTATCATTTATTCGTTCAACTGTCTATTTCATCTAGGATGTACATAAAATAATGTTGCCAGAAGATGATTGGTAGTCTATTTATTTATTTTCAAATTAATTGTTATTGTTTATCTGTATAACAGGTGTTTTTTTGTATATGTTCTCAATAGAATTCTCAATAGAATTTTAAAGCAATCCACTTCCGCCATCTCAAAATAAAAATATCTAAGATATTCAAATATTTTGTTGCCCGAAAATATTTTTATATTTTCAAGCCTTTCATTTTATAGATGTTTTATAAATAATATTATAATTGATTTCATAAATATTGTTATAAAAAATATTATAATGTTATAATTGTTTTCCTTTAATGTGGTCAACTGAACTGTATCATTTATAATTATATTATTATTTTTATTATTATTATTGATTATTATTATTTTTAAGAATGTCATCATTCACGAAATGACGACCAGTCGATAGGTCCCGGTTGCGATGATTTGGGTCGCAGATGTCATGATCAGTGTTTGGGAGGTTGCAGTTTGCCTAATAATCCCTCTAAGTGTCATTTTTGTAAGAACGTCGACTACAATGGAACTTGTTTCGATCATTGTCCTGAAAGCTTGTATGAAATTCATCACGTCTATCTCGTACGGTAATTGAAAAATTCTTCAATATTTTTTCTGCTATATTTATGGGTCTATATGCTTATTTTTTAAATTTATTGGTATTTCTTCATGTTTATGGATTTATTAGAGATTTATGATAATTTTACATTGATATTTAAAGATTTAATTGTTCATCATAGAAAGTGGTTTTATAGAAGATGTGTAACATTGGAAGAATGTCGAAGTATATCAGCACCAGTCACTCCAGAAAGTACGAGAAAACAAATGTTGGTTGTTGATAATATGTGTCGAGTAGACTGTCCATTCGGGCAGGAAATTGGTTAGCTTTATTAAATTGTAATTGGTTAGCGAAATTAAATTGTAATTTCTTCATGAAGGAAGTTACAAAATTTCTATTGTTTTTACGTTTTTCTTGAGTTTTTCATTTCCCTTTTATTATTTAATTTTAATCATTTAGTACAGAATTGATTAAATGGATACAGTTTTTCAGATCCAACAAATTCTTCGCGATGCATTAAATGTGAAGGCTATTGTCCTGTAAAATGTAAAGGTGGAACAATTGATTCGTTTGGTCGCATGCAAGATTATCTTTTTAAAAAATGCAATGTTATTGAAGGATTTTTGGAAATTGAATTAAGGTTCAGATTTTATTAAAGTAGCATAAATTCGATTTCCTGTCAGAAATAAAAGTTTAAGATGAAATTTAAATTGTTTCCATGTATCATCTTTCTCTTCGCACTAATATATTTTCACATGGGTCTTAGATGTTAAAGAAAATGATGTTTCTTACTACAGTAGTCTGTTTTCTTCTTTAAAGTTTTAATTAATTATTGGTTATGAAAATATGGCTTTAAAACTTAATTTTTTTAATATAAGATTATATAAAATTTGAAATTTTATATAGAAAATTTTTAAATTTTTTGTATAAAATTTTTTACCACAAAAATTCCATTTTTCATTCGTCACTATTTGTAAAAAAAATTTTCTAACTATATTGTTCAATTTTTGTAATTCATGTTAATCCAGCTAGTTAAAATTCGTCCCACTGCAAATCGACTTAAAGTAAGCCGTTCATTAAATCGTTTTTTCAGTTGGCTCTATCTTAATGTCTTCAAAATTTTGTTTACTTTCGTTTTTCTTTTTATTGTTTTCGCTGATGTCCCTTCTATATTTTAATTTTAATCTCTTATTTTGTAATTTTGCTTTAATTTAATACTTATCATTAATTAATTTGAATAAAACATTTTAGGACCGGTCTTGATGCTGGCGCAATAGAAAAAGTTGGTGAAGCACTGGGAAACATTGAAGTTATTGAAGGATATTTATTAATTGATTTTAGCACCTCATTTATATCACTTCACATGTTCAAAAGGTTGCGATTAATTAAAGGCAATACTTTATGGAGAGATCGGTTATTATTTTTTGTTTTGCTTATTTTACTTGTAATATTATAATATTCACCTTATTTAATCCTTTTACTTATCTTATGGTGTCAAATGTTTCATCTTTCCAGGTACGCATTAGCTATATTTGAAAATCCGAATCTTAGGCAAGTGTTTGATTTCGAACGGCAACCAATTTCCATTAGTAATGGCACTGTACTATTTCAAAATAATCGGATGCTTTGTTATAATCGAATTAAATCTCTTATTGATCACATGGGTCTAACTGATGTTAAAGAAAATGATGTTTCTTACTACAGTAATGGTGACAGAGCAATTTGTTAGTTAAAATTCATTTAACATTTCCAAATTTTTTAAAACGTATTATAAGGTATTTCAAAAAGATATTCAACCAGCATTTGGAGAATTTTGCAAAGTTACGGTAACTTTTTAAGGTAATGAAACTACTTTCGAAGTCAAGACGGATGAAGTACATAGTTTCGGTTTTATGATATCTTGGGTAGCATTTAATACTACTGATATGGATCATCGGAAATTTCTTGGTTATCAGGTCTTATAATCTTTCCATTGAGAAAACAAAGATCGAATTTAATATTACTAGAAATTTTTTATTCTTTTGGAAATATTAGATTGTTAATCCCTAAAATATCGCTAGGTTTTCTTCAAAAAAGTTGATGGACCAGATCCAAATCTCACTATCGATGACAATCGTTCTGCATGCAGCGATTCGTGGCAAATGCATTTTGAGCCAGAGAAAGGAAATGGTAATGAGGGACTAAATCGAGGAACAGCACTTTTTGGAGTGGAATCTAACACTTGGTTCAGGCTATTATTCATAGAATTACTTCCTCTTAAAATCCTTTCTCTTTGAAATCTCATACAGACATTTCAATATTTTGAGTTAATCCAGTTTTTATGAGAAAATAAAGTTTTTTTGGTAATTTATTAAAAAATTACGTGATAATTTTTTGCAGGTATGCTTATTATGTTCAGACAAAATTAATAAATCATCCTGGAGCAAGAAATGCGATCTCAAAGATAAATTTCGTTAAAACTCTTTTCTCTCCTCCGGATCCACCCGAAGATGTTCGAGGAAAATCGATGAAATCTGATCAAATTGAGTAAATTTTATATTTTTCTTATCCCCATAACTTATCGAGAAAATTTGATGAGAAATAAAATATTAGGCGGTTTTTATATTTTTACTTTCGATATTAATGATATTACATATTAATGATTTAGAGTCGTTTGATTTTTTAGTCTTGAATGGGATCCACCAGAGAAAGCAAATGGAGATATAACGCATTATTCGATTAGATGGCAGTTACTCACAGATGATTCTTCTTCATTTGCCGGACATGTATGCGATGATAAAGCAGGTACTGTGAATAATACTGGAATATTTATTCACTATTTAGCTCTTCTTGTGATTTTGGTTAATCCCTATTGCGTGAAAACGTAATTTATTGAGATCGTTCTGTAGGAGCCGGAAGGCGTCAGCACAAAGATCCACAACGTACAATACAACCAGTTACTTCCAAACCATCTGCACAAACTTGCCTTAAACAAGAAGGCTGTTGTGATTGTCGTTCTTTAAAAGTATATTTTTTCATAATATCTATACTTTTTATTTTTTTTTACATATTAGGTCATTTAAAAGACTATTATAGTCCTCGATTGTTATGGTTTTTTTTTTCTTTTCTCTGTTATTTCCTCTGATATAATTAATTCTTCCATAATAAAGATAATGGGCCATAAGTAATAAGATCGAATTTTTTTTGCATAATGTCTTTTTTTATTTGTTCAGAGAACTGGATTAGCTGCGCCATATTTAAACGAGGAAGAGGAAACAAATGATGAAGCTGAATTCGAAAACGCTGTTCAAAATCATGTTTTCATACAACAGTTAGTTTATTTTCGCATTTTTTTCTCTAAGCTTATCGAAATATCTGAGTCACATTTGTCATTTAAATCATTTTTATATCATTACAGCGATACTAGTCAGAGATTAACCCGCGATAAAAGAAATGTGCAATTGAATACAATGACGAATGATAAAATCTATGGTGATGAAAAAAAAATAAGAATAATTCACGAGGTTAATGAAAGTATAAGTCTTTATAAAGTGGATAAGGATATTGGTACACATAGAATCAACGTTACAACTCGATTTTTACGAATTCTTGGATTACGGCATTACACCCAGTATCAAGTTTGGGTAAGATTGAATTTATTTTTGCATATTCAAATATCTTATGACTACTGATTAGATAAATCTCTTAGTTTCTTCTTCTTATTTGGTTCTTTTCATTAGCTGTTGTGATAAATCTTTTTTCTCACGGAAGAATTTATTTAGAATTTAATTTAATTTAATGCTTAATGCTTTACTTGTTTAATTATTAAGAGAATATCGATGGATTTCTGTTTTATTATGAAATTTTATATAATTCTTTCACTTTTGCACATTTTCTTCCTGAGTTTTCTGTTTCTATTTTTCTATTTCTTTTCTTCATCGTCATTTTTAAAAATTAAACGCAGACATTGTTCAGTTATATGCATGTCAAAATACATCGGCAGAAGGTGGTTCATATTGCTCTCAACGTCCAGGGTGGATTGTTATTCGTACTGCACCAATTCGTATGATTGATTTTATAAAGCCAAATGTTTAGCTATCATTGTTTAATCTTATAGAAATTATATTTTAAAATGTCAGATTTTAAGCTTGCAAATTGTTTTGAAATGAAATCCATTTCTACTATGTTCATCTATTTTAGCAGAAAATGATTTGGTAGATAATTCGACAATTGAAGTAATCAATTCAACTACTGTAGAGGAAGATCGGCGCAGTCGAAAAATTGTATGGGCCGAGCCTTTGCGTCCCAATGGCGCTATACTTGCTTATAAAGTGAAGGTCGTTGCTGAAGATCGTGAACAAGTGAGCATTCATTTGTTTTTTCCACGGCTCCTTAGCGTTGATTTTTATCTCAAAATTTGAAACGAAATCGTTGATATTAATTAATTGTATTTATTATTTAAATTTGCTAATCCAGGACATACCGAACTAGTTGGTCGGAGATCGAGGATAGCAACAACCATCTTTTTTTTTAAAACAACCTTTTAATTTTCTTTCAATATTTTAAACCTTATTTTCTTTGTTTTTAATTTTCTTGTCTGGTCATATTTCATATTTAGACTCCTATCCCGCAATGTATCAAGGCATCAGATTTTCGTCGAGATGGCGGAGTAACTTTTCGTGGCCTTCCTGAGGGAATTTATCGGGTAGAAGTTCGAACGATTTCAGTTGCTTCACTAGCTTTGGTTTCTACTGATGAAATTGCCGTCGCAAGAACAGTTTTCTCAGTTGTTAAACCATCTTTTTTTACTTGGAAAGTATGTTTAAAAATATTATTAGAAAATACATAATTTTTTAAACATTGTTTTATTAAATATATTTATCTTTAATGGTTGTTTAACTTTAGGTTACGTTATTGATCATTATGATCACGTTCTTGGTTCTTTCAATAGCTGCACTATTGCTGTACTATTTTTCTCAAAAAGTCTTTGGTGAGAAGGTGAACTTTTGGTTATTTTAAAAAAATATTTTACTTTCGTTTTTTATAGCAATTTTGGAAATGATTATTAATTGTTGGTTTTTCTTCATGGTATATAATTTTCAGGTGCGTGAATATGTGCGGCAACAGATATCTGCAAATCCCGAATATTTAAGTCAAATGGATGTATATAAACCTGATGAATGGGAGCTTAAGCGTACTGATATCGTGCTTGAAGAAGAAATAGGACGCGGCACTTTCGGGAAGGTGTGTCTTTTTTTGCGAACGCTTTTATTGAGTTTTTTTAAGAAGTTTTTTTAATGTATATATATTCCAATATTATTAATCCGATATTAATAATAATGCTGCAAAATATGAATTATTCAGGTCTATCGCGGTTGTGCTAATAATGTCATTTCGCATGGTGGTGTTCGTTTCGGAGAATGTGCCGTGAAAACAGTTGCTGAAGGTGCGAACAGTGCTGAGAGATTGCACTTCCTTATCGAGGCTAGTGTAATGAAACAGTTCAACACTTCGTTTATTGTTAAACTTTATGGTGTCGTTTCCGATGGTCAACCAGTTTTAGTTGTAATGGAGCTTATGAAAAAAGTATTTTTTTAGTACTTCTAAAAACTTTTCATTTCTAACAAATTTTCGATACTGAAACTTATAAAAAAATGGCTGGTCCAATTTAAATCCAATTTATTTGGCATAGAACAGCTTAGTGGATTATTGGTTTCGTTGCTGATGCTTTCAAGATTTTACTTTCAGCTTATTAAGTCTTGTTTTTCAAAGGTCCGGATGATGCTGACAGCTTCCCTGTATTCTGTCGTAAAGTAACTCCTTAATAAAATACTATAAATATATTTATGTCAGATTTATCCAGTTTAATCACCCGAAAAAAATGAGCCTTATAATAATGAATTCTTTCAGAAAAAAATTCAAATTATTTAATTTAGTTTAATTTTGAGTTAATCTTTTCGAATGATTTATTTTATAACCAGCTGTATGATCGTTTATTTGATATTTATTTTAATATTTTATTTTAATAGCATATGAATCAAAAGGTTCATGAATCGATTTGAAATAAGAAATGTTTCTAAGTAATTAAGAATAGTTTTCTAATAAGTTTAATATTTTAATCATTATCTTAAGAACAGTGTTAATAATAGAGATGTATTATTTATTTTGTTTATAGAATATAATTTTATCTTTATTCTTAAGTGATTTGGCAAAGGGTAATTGACTTATATATATTTATGCCCAAAATTTTAAATTACTACATTTAAGGGTAATTTGCGCGATTATTTGCGTTCAAGGCGCCCTGGTGCCGAAGAAAATCGCGATAATCTTCCAATTCCTTCGCATAGTGAATATGTTCGTTGGGCTTGTCAAATAGCGGATGGAATGGCTTATTTGGAGTCACTTAAATTCTGTCATCGAGATCTTGCTGCAAGAAATTGCATGGTTAATTTTTTTTGTTTTAGAATTTTTTAAAATTAACAATTCTGTTTTCCGACACAAATTGTAAAATTAGAAATCTAGAATTATTTTTTTCACAATGTTTGAGGTAAGTGAGGATGATAGTGTAAAAATTGGTGATTTCGGAATGGCTCGTGATATTTATTACCATGAATATTACAAACCAACAGGTATTTTTTTGGTTTTTCTAATCTTATAATTTTTAACTCTGTAAAATAAATGATGTATTAATTTTTATAACTTTTGCATTCCTTTATTCGAGTAAATCTTAAGGGAAGCGTTTAATGCCTGTTAGGTGGATGGCTCCCGAATCATTAAAAGATGGAAAGTTCACGATGAAATCAGATGTCTGGTTAGTGAATCTTTCTTCAAACTTGCAAATAAGTCTCATTAATGTGTGTGAAGAGTGAAACTGCATTAAATTTAAATTTAGGTCTTATGGAATTGTACTCTATGAAATGCTGACATTAGCGCAACAACCATATTCGGGTATCAGCAATGAAGATGTCTTCAACTATATTGGCGTTTCGCGTCGAATATTAACACGTCCTACTGGTTGTCCCGATTTTTGGTATATTATTTTTATATTTTCAGTAAGAAAAGTAAATATGAGGAAAAAAATTTTGATGTTTCTTTTTCTTTTGATTTTTCACCTTTAAATTTGATGTGATCAATTTTATTACCGTCAAAATAGATTTTATATTTGAAGGTATGGCCTAATGGTTGAATGTTGGAAATATGATCCTCGAGACCGACCAGATTTTGTTCAAATTCTTGGGAAACTAATTTCCGATCCGTCTATCGATGGAAATTTTCTTAAAGTTTCTGTTTTGATCATCATTATTACTTATTACTTATCATTATTACTTATTACTTTATTACTTATTTTTGCTTTCATCTAGTATAACAATCTATTATTTTTATTTATTCATTGTCACTTCAGGCATCATTTGTGCTCTCATTGAGTGAAAGGTCTGATGAAATAGTAGTCGATGAGATTTTCCAGCCAGAAGAAATTTATCCTTTGTCCAGTAATGATACTGAATTAGTTATGAATGTAGCTACTCAAAATTCAAATGTAAGTGAACTTTTTTTTGGAAAGCTTAAAATTTATTTCATATAAAATAAAATAATTTACAGAATCCGATTTGTAACTGGAATCGTCGATATCTTAGTAATTTTATAAACTGGCAACGAGGCAGTTCTGATGGACCAAATAACATACAAAATTTCGATAGGCAAATGATAAAATGCGAACGTGAAGATGAATTATAATTAAAAATACATTTGCACCCTTTTAATGTATATATTAATAATATCTTTGAATATTTCTATTATTTTATTCATTATTTATACATTTTTGTAATAATTTATATGTATGTTTGTATGTATTTATTTTAAATTTTATTTGTTAAAAAGATTTACAGAAAGCGATAAGCAGTTTTTTAGGTATTAAATTGAAGAATGATTGTTGCAAAGTTTTTCAAATATTTCGTTGCTCTTACTTGTTGTATATTATATACTATTTCACTTTGTAGTTTATTATAGTTTGAAAATTTTTATAAATTTATTCGGGTTGTATAAAGATTTCAACTTTTTTAAACCACCTTTCTAGCGTGGAATCGAGTCACATTTTGCTTCGCGCAACCGACGGCGCAGGTCTCTCTCGATTTCGGTCCCCTCGTTAGGGGTAAACCTGCAATTAATAGTTGCCGCTGTCGCTTAGGTCCACTTAGAAATATATTCCCATTGAGGCTACGGTGAAAGCAATCGAAAAGACTTGGGGCTCGCGCGTTTACTTTCAGCGAAACTTGCAGAGAACCTTCATGAAGCTTAAACACGAGAAACGAATGTGCGATGATCGTTCAGAGGTTCACAGTTTCCGTGAATGGAGAGAGAGAGAGATAAGGCGGCGTTGGTTATTGCAGCGTTGGGACAGAACATCGCCACTCCGTACTGTCGTCCGCCGCGTCCCTGCAAGGCCTTCGGGTGTTTAGCAAGTGAAAGCCTAGCGGGATTTTTCGTTTCAATTTCTTAAATCTCCCTTTTCCTAAATTACGAATTCTTTTAAAAAATTGACAAAACTGCTTCTTTACAAAAATTCCATTGGTTTAAATTTATTTTAAAAGCACCTTTAAAGTCCTTTTAGATTTTATAAATAAACCACTTACATAAAAAAAAGGAAAATTCAAGTGGAAAAACTGCACCACGACAAATACGCGCGTAGAATGCGCCCTCCAATCAATATTTACTTAAACGCACATTATTTTAATTGCTTATTTAATTTTCTTTGATTCTCTCCATAACCTTTCGATCTCTAAAAGACTTTCTCGTACAATTCTCTCATTTTGCATATTCTCTCGACGACGGTTCGTTTCTTTTCTTTCTTAGAATGTTTGCCTTTTTTCGCAGAAAAACTTTAAAATTTATTTTGATTTAACGTAATTTATCAATTAACCCATAAAAGTCATTTAGAAAATCTTTGCAAAAAAGAGAAAAATAGCCCGGGCCACGTTTTCTCGCTGGCTGGGCCAGTACCGCGCTTTTTTTCGTTTTTCCAATTCAATGTTTAATTCTTACATTTTTTTTGAATTTTTGGTTATTTTCTATTTGGTTTATTCAGCTACTTTTTTCGTCAATTGAGCGATAGAATGTATTGAAATATTTTTATTTTATTATTTTTTTGATTAATTGTTTTGATTAATTTAGTCCAAATTTTTGTTAAATTTATTCATTAAAAGCTTAAAAATTTTACAAAATATTTCCAGAAAAAAATTTGTTTCCAAAAAATAAATTTGCAACTATTATACAAATATAGCGAAGAGAAGAGAATGAGTGAGCTACCGCCAGCAACATCGTTAAATGATTTACTATCTCATTTAATGACAATTTCTGAACAGTCACTCGATGACCTTACACAACAAAGGTTAAAATTTTTTCGATGCAAGTTGTTCATTGAACGAAGAGCTTTTCTCTTTTAGTCCTCAGATTTCCGCTCAGAATTCGGCAAAAATAATAGAGAAAGCAACTTTCACATAATTTAAATATTGCTTTCTTCTTCTTCTTGCATTCGTTCTTTCTGACTTCACCGACTGCTTTCACTGATTTCGTTGAGGAAACTGTTTGGCTCTAAATAATTATGAGAGATATGGCTTGTCAGCTCTTCGCACACTCATTTGGCTTCCACATTTAATGACGTGTTGACTGAAAATAATAAAACGACAGAAAATAGAACTAATCTTTTTTCCACAAATATTTCATTGTTTGATTAGTTTTGTTATTATTTATTAATTATTCAAGAATCCAAAAAAATTCATCCAGTTTTCTGAAAAAAAGTTAATCAAAGAAGTTTATTTTTGCAAAAAAATGATTTCTCAAAACTGATTTTAGAAAGCAACAGTTACAAAATCATCGGATGAAGAATGCTTTATTTGAAGTACTTGTGGAAATTAAGGAAAAGACAGGTTTGTTTTCTTTATTTTCAATTTTTTGTTTATCGTTGAAAATTCGGATAAATAAATTTCTTTTTTTTAAAAATTAATCAAACGAAATTTAGCGTTGTCTATACGAGGAACTCAAGAAGAAACACCTGAAGATCCGCAGTTGATGCGACTTGATAATATGTTGGTGGGCGATTCTTGTTTTCTACTTAAATTTATTGCAGATTTACAATTTTTTCTCGTAAAAATAGCTTTCTTTGAGGTTGCTGAAGGCGTCGCTGGCCCAGATAAAGGTACGCCACTTCAGGGTGATGCAAGTGGAGGTGATCAAGCAGACTATCGTCAGAAACTTGCTCAGATACGGCTTGTTTACAATGAAGAACTCAGAAAATACGAGGAAGTAAAATTCAAAATTTCTAATTGCTACTAAAAGATAATTAAATAATGATCCATTAAAGAATGATTGTAATTCTTAAATTCAGGCCTGCCAAGAGTTTACCCAACACGTCGTGTCTTTATTACGAGAACAAAGTCGTACAAGGCCAATTGCAAGTAAAGAAATCGAACGAATGGTCGCCATTATTCAGAAAAAATTTTCCGGAATTCAGGTTAAAATAATTCCTTTTCTATTTTCCATTCGTTTTTGTTTTTCGGTTTCTGTTATAAGTTTCACAATTAATATTTAAACATTATGGCATTCGAATATTTCAGTTCAAAAATAAATATAGTTTTAGGTCCAATTAAAGCAGTCAACTTGTGAAGCGGTAATGATATTGCGGTCAAGGTTTCTTGATGCTCGGTAAAATTTTTTTCTTGGATTTGATTTTTTATTTTTTTATTCTGCCAATCACGTAAGCCATTTCTATGAATAATAAGTTACTAATATTGCAATAAATGTTGCAATTTTTTTCAGGCGTAAGCGACGAAACTTTAGTAAACAAGCTACTGAAGTACTTAATGAATATTTTTATTCACATCTGAGTAATCCTTATCCATCAGAAGAAGCCAAGGAAGAATTAGCAAGGCAATGTCAGATTACTGTTTCACAGGTTTTTTACCACTTGTGTTTTTAATTTTTCTTTTTAATTTTCGTTCATTTATTTAGTAAACTTATAATATTTTGCTTGTAAAATTTACATCGATTATTTTTATCAAGTTATTTTTTTCCTTCCAAATGCAATTTAAAAACAGCCTTGTTATATCATTTCTTAAAGGTTTCTAACTGGTTCGGCAACAAGCGTATTCGATACAAAAAAAATATTGCAAAAGCGCAAGAAGAAGCCAATATGTATGCAGCAAAAAAAGCAGCTCATGGAATGACTGGTCAGTTTCTATAGTTGTCCCTTTTCCTTGTATTGTATTTATATTGTGTTTATATTGTAATTATCGATAATTTTTTTATTTTTTTATTATTCTTCCTTGTTATTAAAATTTGTAGGCTTTTAAAAAGAATTTTCATTGTAGCTTGTACGGAATGTCGAATTTTCTTTGAAGAAATTCGTTCCGAATTAATATCTTTTAGCTGCATTCGTTAATCTAATTTGAAAGGCTTTTGAAACCGTTTCGTCAAGGGGTTAATGAAGGTAGAAATATACTCTTGGGTCTTTTACATTTCGTTTGTTGATAAAAGTTTGGAGATACACGTTCGATCGAAATACCATCAGTCATCTTCCGAGTATAAATGAGTAAAATATATCTTTTTGGTCATTTAGATGAAGATAAGATGAGAAAATTATTTACTTTTATTATTTCCTTACATTTTATTGCTATTTGCTAATTCTTTAGATTTATTTCTTTAAGAATAAGTAATTTTTTTTATTTAGCAGCGAATCAGTATGGTATGTTGGCGGGCTCATCAGCTGCTGGTGGAATGCTTAATTACCCAGGAATGTTACCTGGTCAAGATATTACGCATCATATGGCCACTGCTGGTTTAGAATTTGCAGCTAGTTACAATCCACAGTTGGTAAGTATATTTGAAATTTTTTTTGACCTAAAGGATTAAAATAAACAAGTTCATATGGTAAAGACAAAATGGATCTTTTAGTTTTTTAGAGTTTTCATCAAAATGATTTATTATAATCATATTTCTGCTGATCAGTTTTTTGAAAGGAACGTGAAGCAAATTACAAAAGTTATGCATTTATGAAAATTTTGAGAATTTAATGAAGAATGCAGATTCATGTTTAGAGTTTCATTCAAAAAAATATGAACTTATGCATTATTTTCGATAGCATATCGAAGATTAATCTGTAAAAAATTTTGTGAATTTAAAGACACATTGATGCGTTTTCAAAATTTATCGTTGAATTCGTGTTAATTCTTTCTATAAGAAGTTTTTTCCCTCATCTGATATTGCTAAAATCGAATTTTCTGGATAGAAGCCCCTTTTAGTTTCACCATTGCTTAATTTAATTCTGATATAATTCTGATTATTTAATTCTGATTATATACTTAATATAATTGCGTGATGCTTATATTACTAACCATCTCCTAACGCGAAAATAATTTATGCAATTACTTTCACTTTTATCCTATTAACATATTTCTTAATATATCGCATTAAAATGCCAAACGATAAATAGAAAATTAAATAATTTTTCGTTAATGTCTTAATAAACCTATGAATTAAATTAGTTCTATTAGCCTAACTCAAACACGCCCAAACACATATTTTTCAAAAAATATTTTCACAAAAATTTGAATTTTATAAATCAGTGGCAAACTAACTTCATTCATTAGAAATATTACTTGCAGATGTCCTCCGCTTACGGAATTACGTTGCCGAATACTTCTCCTCAGTCCTAATGTAATATTTTTTGAGCATTTTTTTATATCGTTTGGAGATATTTCATGTGCTTTTCGTATCTTTTTTTTCGATTTTTGTTTAATTTTTTCTTTTATTAGTTTTTTTGTTGCTATTAGAATGTAGATTTGGATATAGTCATTTGCTTGGAGAATTGCTTAAATTCCTCTTTCATCAAGTTAGAATGAATCTTTATATGCTTAAAAAGGGTATAATTCTTCTTTCACTTATTTCCTTGTATTTTTCATTTTCTTTTAACAATGATTTCGATGTGCTTTTTTTAACTCGTAATTAGTTGTATTTCAAAATTTTATTTTTCACATGTTTTTATTTTTGCTTTATTTATTTTTTTTATCTCCAGGGAATACCTCCAGTCACTAGCGAACCGCCGATGAAGAAACCAAAAAGCAATTAATCCACCGATCCACCGATGTTTGGCCATTTTATGTAAATATATATTTTTTTCGACGATCAATATGAAGCGAAATGGTTATCTCGGCTAGTCAGTGGTTTTACATCCATGACATATGCACTGTTTCTTACTATTTTTTACGAATATATATGTGCTTTATTTTTTAAAAAAATTATTTAAAATTATTTTAAGTGGAAAATATTTTAATTTAAAAATTCTATGTATAAGTAAATTGTAAATTAATTAAATGATTAATTGCTAAAAATATTTTTGCAATGAAATTACTTTTTATTTACAAATTTTCCATTTTTTTTGGCGAAGTGATTAAATCGGTTTATACTTGTTTTTTTGACGATCTCAACAAACTTTTAATATTTTTTCTTTTTTATTTTTTTTGAATGGTTTATATTGTATTTTATTAATTATGATATATATGCTCATATGTGTTAGGTAGAAATTTTTTATTTTTTTAAATTTTTATTAAATCGAGTGTTTTTAGTTTTATATTTTTATATATTATTATGTTTGTTTTTTTCAGTAAATCTGTAAAATTTGTTCTTGATTTGTACATAGGAGGCATTTCTGGTTTTAAAAGTTTAAGATCGTTTCACTAGTGGATCATTTGAGAATAGATGGAAACGGATTCCAAATGCTTATTTGATGTCTCAACTTTGATATAAGTTTTAATCTGATCAAGTGATAGGAAGGAAATCTATGCTGATTCGTTATGGAGCAATGTACAATTCAGTGTACAACTTTCCGGTTATTAACTTTCCGGACAATTTTTTGTTTGTAATTGATTATTTTGAGGTCAGAATTTCAGTCTTTTTTGTTTTAATTTTGCTTTTTTGTTTTGTCGCTGTGTTTAACATAAATATCGTTAAGTGGCGAAATTGTTTATGATAATTTATCGTTTAAAAAAAGTGGAAATCAATTTCGTCTGAACATGAATAAATATTAAAGATACATAGAACGAAGTTAAATGCTTTTTCTTTCAGAATTTTTGCATTTTTTTCTGAACTTCTGGGACTGTATTTCATTTTTTATTGGAATGGCTTTTTGTGAGGTATAAAAATTTGCCTGGCCAAACATGTAAGTCAAGTGATTAACTGATTTGGGTGAGTGGTCGGCATTTTCGCTTTTCTGGTTGATTAGAAATTGGCGAATTGGGAATAGAATTACTGATAGAAGTGCCATTCAAGTACCATTAGAGAGAAGCGCCACAGAAAGAAAGGTCTGAACTCTGGCGCTTGAGTCGATAATCACAAATGAAAATATTGATAAATATTAATATTATCTAATATTTCTTGAGATTTCCACAGTTTCGACATCCACACAGCAAGTTTTTTTTAAATTTTTCCTTTAATTTTTTAATTTTTCTTTTTCGTCTTTTTCTTCCCAAATTTTACATCTTTATTTATCTTGGGAAATACGGTTGGCTGTTGAGGACTTGTAATTCTATCCTCAAGTGACTCTATGGTGAAAGGGCCTGGTTTCCTTGACACTGCATCTGCGTCCTCATGCATGATATTCCCAGACGGTACATGCGATAAGTATACAATCGAGGCATAAAACATTCCCAAGATTGTTGATAAGATGTGCTCGCGAGCCAGGGTAATTGCTTCTTGGGAAACGGTTTTCTGCGCGGCGAAATTTTAACCGTACCAGTATAGAACGTCACTTATGGATGTTGTAAGCTAAGATATCATTGCCTTCTTCCAAATATCGTGTGGATGTCGCATACTTGTTGGATATTCAATACCCTCATTTCTGGCCCGTGCAGTTATTAAATCCTAGCAGAAGCACTGGGTTTCTGATAAATCGGGACGAAATGGCGTTGCAATTTTTACGTCTGAAAGGGCCCATTCCGCTTTAATTGAGTTTTGTATCGCGCGTGTAGGTCATGATAGTCCCACGAAGAACTCGATAATTGGCAAATATGGCATCGAGACATCGAGGTCCGATGTGTTAATAGGGAGCTTTTTCGCTTGACGTCACTGCCAAAGAATATGAATTTTTTGCATCTAATACATCTTTTTGCTTCCGACGTCGAACAAGGCATCTACATCGGAGCTTCTCAGATAACCAACACTCTAACCAAATTGATTGCATTTTAATCAGTCGCCCTTGGAATAGTCCCATACTTGATAGTCGTTTCTCTAAAAAATTCAGGGATAGTGAGCCCATTTCAAACTTAATCACTGAAGCACTTTAGTGAAATGAATATCAGTGATATCCCTGCAGACAAATACTGCTCGCAACGAAAGACTTTGTCTTCGAAAGTCAGCCAGTTCCGTATACTAGTTGGAAATACGCTAGTTGGGTATGGGAAGTAACTGTTCAATTGTCTGAAAAGGCTGCCAGAGTAGAAATGTCAGGACATCCTGACTATCGGATTCGAGGAATTAACAACAGCAGAAAGGGGGTCAAAAATCGCTATGGGAGCCTTGAGAATGGAGACGGTGACTCGATTAGGCGATAATGGGAAACTATTCTGCCTTCATAAAGCAACAATAACTCTGTAGCGGTGATGTTGTGCAATACGGGGTAGTAATTGTGTGCATGTTAAGGCTATTAAGGATCGCCTTATAAAATAGAAGGATAGAAAGATAGAAGGAATTCGTTGCGGCCAAACTTAACCACTATGCGCCATCTTTTGTTGCTCCTGACACAGCTGATTTCGCCAAGCCATATCCTTACAAATTTGAGCCGCCAGCAGAACAGAAACTTATCTCTGTCCAGAAGCTTAAAACCAATAAAACTCTGGGAGATGGTCTTCGGGCCGAATTCTTCAACTGTTATCAATCGTCCTTCATATCTCACCTTCAACAAAAGTACTCTCTAGTGTGGCAAAAAGAAATACTAGCTGACTAGTTGATTAGAGCAAAACCATTTTTCTTCCGATTCCAAACTGTGACATAATATACTGTGGCAATTATCGAGAAATTAGCCTACTAGACGTATCGGCGAAATTTTTGCTTCTCTTTTACTCAATAGACTTATGGCAGTACGAGACAACAAGATGAGCCCTAATCAAGGCTCTAGCCGAAACGCGGTTGTGTTGACCAGATATTTACGTTAAGAAGGGTGTTGGAATATCGCTTCAAATATCATCAACCTACCATTATGTATTTCATTGACTTTGCAATTGTCTTCGATTCAGTTGATAAGATTCAATAGCATTTTAGAAAGTGATGGAACACGACGGTGATTTCCAGAGAAGATCATTCGGCTCATTAAGGCATTTTTTCAGCATATCTTGGCACAGGTCCCTGTAGAGAACTGATAGACTCCTTCAAAAGAATTGGTGTCAGTCAGAGCTGCGTCCTTCCCCTTACAATGTTTAACTACGTAATAGACTGGATAATGGTCATCTCTTGTCGGCACTCAAGAGGTGTGCAAATCCGTCCAGAACATAGCATCACAGACCTAGAATACGCTGATGATGTAGTCTTCTTTGCTGACAGTTATGACGACATGCAAATAATGGTAAACAGTTGCAAGTGTCGACAGTTGCAAGAATCGGACTTAGTATCAATGCATATATTCAAGAGCTGACAAAATATAACAAATTTTTCATCAATTCATTCCGGTTGATGAAACCTTTATAGAAGCGTCGCGAAATCACCATAAAGACGAAAGTCCGAGTCCCAGCTTCAATTCGCTGGGTCGTGCTGTATGGCTGCGAAACATGGCCAATGAGAGTGGAAGATATTATAAAGCCATCAGCCTCTGAATACTCATGTCTAAGGTATATTTTGCCGATCCAGCGTGCAGATAAAATCGCACATGATTGAATCCATCTTCGCTCAAATATCATCTGTATTAATAATGTTATCTTCTTCCCTGGTTAATTTTGTTACCGAACCCTATGATGGTTGGCGTCAAGAGCCAGGAGGACTAATTAATACTTGGACTAGTACAATCAGGAAAGATTTTGAACGTATAAGAGGACCAGCGATATATGGACTTAGACGATGGAAAAAGGAATGGCTTCTATTACTGTCGACGATCGCATCAGATTGCGTAGCTTGGGAACTTATCCTTATCCTTGTAGGTCTTATCCTTGTAGCCAGTGGAACCAGCCTAACCGTGATAGCTGTTAGAGGAAGAAGAAGAGGCGATGATTTTAACAACATCAGAAGGTTTCAAAAATTTAGTCATACGTAGGCTTAGGGTGAATTTCGACTTCACATCCGATGATAACCACGGATAAATAAAATATTTATCTTGTTCCTTTGTGATTTCTTAGGCTCCAGCTCTTTTATACCTGGATTATTCCATACGTTATCCAGTCGATACGTTATTTAGTCCATCGTCCAATCCTGCCTGTTTGTTCACTTGCTTTTACATTACTTTTTATTAAATAGCCTGTTTGTCTCATGCATTCTTTAATGGAAGCAAAAGGAAAAGGAGGTTAAACAGTGTAAATAGTTGGTTGGCTTGTTGGCGCTTTTCCTGATTTCTCAATTACTACTTGCATTTATTAGTTTCTTTATCTAAATTCGATTCATACTCGTTTGTTTCAATTTTTTATCTCGAATATTTCATGTAAATCACTGTTTGCGGTTCATTCGTGTTCATATTCATGGTACTGAATTTAATTAAATTATGGAAAATTTAATGTTATGTTGGTGCGATTTTGAAAAAAACTATAAGGACTCAAATACTTAAATACTAAGTCAATGAAATGAAATTAAAAAATTAATTTCTAACAAAATTTTTCAATTTTTCTGTAAATTGTTTACAAATCTTTCATGATAAGAACAAAATTATATCAGTTGATTTAGATGATGTCAGATGATATTAGACGATATATATTTTTCTCATTTTTAATATATTATGCAATATTTTATTAGATAAAAGTAATGCAGTTATAAAAGGTTTTTACTAATAAAAGATATCCTATTCACGGACCAAATATTACAGTAGCTCGAATAATGGAACTTAATTTTTGGTTTGGTTTGACTGGCTATTAGGAAACATGTAGGAAGTTATTTATGAGGTGAGACGTAAGGCCAGACCTCCAATGCCGTCTGGATTTTAATTTTAATGACAGATTTGTTAAAGAGAGAGAGAGATCGATTTGCATTATTTGCGTATAAGATTTCGTCAATTAAAGAAGGAACCAGTTTCAAAATGGAAGAAGTTCTCACTGATTATGCTTTACTTTTTACTTTATGTTGACCAATGGGAATGGAAGATATCAGATAACTTCCTCTGACCATAACTGCTTAAGTTCTAATTCTGATAGTCACCCTAATAGTCACCTGATCGAAACCCCACACGCACCTCACACCTTTGCAGCATGCAACATAGATGGTGTGATCGCAAAGTTTCGCCTCTTCTTCTCGTTAAACCATGTTTTTCGTCGCAGAAATTGATGTAATATGCGCAACTTAGTGATTCTTGTGTAGAAGAGAATTTGAGTGCAGAGAGGGGCTTAACAATATGCTTGATTAGAGCAATGGAACGGTTTTAATTTCAAACATGACTCTGAATCGTGAAACTTGGAAATGGCTTGTCCTAGTGTCATCAGTACAGCCAGTTAAATCGTCGATGATACCAGCTTTGGAGAAGAATTAAAGAAGGAAATCTCTTATGAAACTGAAATGCGAAGCTTGGGAAGATCTCTTCGTATTATTTGTCCTATTAGCCAGCCAAAAAAGAAATTGTATATGCTATTAGAAGAAGCAAAAAAACTGTACAAAGCAAATTCATTCAGCTATAAATACCATAGCGATTGGCTGAAAATATAAATTTCTGTCGCATTTATTTTTGTTTAATAAAATTCACTTTTGATATTTCAGTGGGAAATATGGGTGATTATGTATGGCTTAATCAGTTAGTTCAAGTGGAATGGGCATTTACTGGCAATAAATCTGTTATTAAAAGGCAGAAAACGGGATAGTGATGACAGTCTACCTGTATTTTCCAAATGTCAAAAAATTCCTTATTCTAATCGAACCTAAAGAGCGATGGTCTATGAGATAGAATTCACTGAAAATATCTTCTTCTTTTAACAGCTCTCATTATTGGTTAGGCTTGCTCCACTGTATAAGGGTAAGATGTCTCCAAGCTGCTCGGTCCGATGCCATGGCTAGTAGTACTAGATGCCATTCCTTTTTCCGCCGTGTATATATCGCTGGTCTTCCTATACGTTCAAAATCTTTCCTGACTGTATCAGTCCAGGTCTTAATTGGCCTCTCTTTTAACGCCAGCCATCATAGGGTTCGGCAAGTAGCGAAATATGCGTCAACACCTGTGGACGACGAAGAATGTGCCCTAAGTAGCGAAGGCGACTCTCTGTGATAACATTATTAATACAGGTGATATTTAAGCGAAGATGGATACACCATTTGAGATTTTATTCAGTTTGCGAACCTGTAAAGTGTACCTTAGACATATACCTTGGTCAAAGGTAGATAACCTTTTAATATCCTCATTGGCCATATCTCCCAACCATATAATATGATCGAGCGAATTGGAGTTATATGGACGCGGATTTTCGTCTTTATGGTGATTTGGCGACGATTCCATAAAGGTTTTGTTAGCCGGAAAATATATTTCTAGCTGTCATTATCCGAGTTACAGTTCCATCCTTTGCCTGGCCATTTGTGGTTAGAAAATATAAATATATATATATATTTATATATATCTAAAATATATCATTATTATTATATCATTTTATCGTTATATTTTTTTCGCATCTTTGGTTTATTTCCTCTAATGTAAGAAATAAAAATATTTTGAAGAAATAAAATGGTAAGTAGTACTCAATTATTGGTGAAATGTGAAGGAATGAAACATTTTTTATTTAAATTTATCCTCTTTTAGACAGTCAAAGCATATTATTTTGAGAGTTTTGTCTTTCAATTCTAGTAATTTCATTTAACAACGAACAAGAATACTATGTAAACGACGTAATCAATCTCTGAAATGTTTAAGAAAAAGAAGTTCTATTGATGAATTTCCCTTCTCCCTTAGATACGAGTTTTTTTCGTTCCAAAATTTTATCGAACAAAGTGATTGGATTGCAATCAGAGAACTGAAAAATATTCAATTTTAGTCAGAAATTTCTTTGATGTTTTTTTCGACAAATATTAGAAATATTTCGAAAATTTATTGTTCCGTTACCTATTGAGAAAATAATTAAACGAGTGAACTTCTCATTAAAAAGGAAATCCGATTGATTGTTAGTTTTCTAATCCTTTGAATAGTTCGCAAAAAGCTAAGACTATTACACTTTTTTTTATGGAAATAATTTTTATAGAAATAATTATTATATAAAAATAAATAATTATTAATAATTTATATGGAAATAATTATAATTATTAATCATATCAATTAAATATTCTTCAAAGTTTCGGCTTTGGCTCGACTTAACATGGTTTGCGATTGGCGATGATCATCTTCCCTCATTTGTTCCACCTAGGAAACCGAAATTTATGAACGATGGATACTATGTTTTCACCGTCTAAAAGTGCTTGTTACTCGTTTAGTTGGCTCTATTGGTTACTTCAATGGATTTTTTTCACCAAAGAATCAGTTAAGGGTGAAATTACAGGTGAGTCTCCAGCACAACCCGAATGCTTGCTTTAGTGGGTTAAATGCTAAGAAATCCGAGCTATTGTCCTACCATAATGGACAAATCGACAAATTGTCCTTTAAATCCCATTATTATATGAAAAAAAATTCTCGGCCCTTTAAAATTAAAATTTTAAAAATATATTAATGAAATCTTTCAAAAATCCTCGGAAACTTTAATGCGTTAATTTTATAATACAATTTTTGTTCAGCTTAGTTATTCCGTTTTTTCAAATGATTAATTTCATAATTACTAATTTTATAATAATTTTAGAATGATAGCTCGTTAAATTTGATAGATTTTAATTTACTCTTCAGTTTTCTAATTAGTACCACGTGGGGTAGTGCGGCGGACTGCCGTTTTGCCTAGATTATCAGTACTATCTCGGTTCGTTCATGTGGCTAGCACGAGTAAACCTGTTACTAAAAAATATGTGATTCATTAAGGCTTCACGTTTTCAACTTTTCCAATGAAATTTCCTTATGCCAGTAGCGTTGTGGTTATATATAAAAATAGCCACAAAAAAATTCAACATTAAATAAAATTTTAATCAAATCAATTAATTATTATTCATGGAGGATTGGTGTAAGGTGGGGAAGAGGTACCACTTTATCGATAATATTTATACATTTATTCCTTGCAATAGTAATTTTTTCCTCGATATTTTAATTATATTTTTTTTTCAATTTCATTGAAATGGATTGTTAAATAAATTAATTAATAAATCGTGAATAAATAAATTTCTAATTTTTCTTTTCCAGCTAAAATCTGCAATTCCTAAACGGGAAAAATAGCTCCAGCAGATTCCACGAACAGAAATAGAGATTTCTCTCCGGAAGGGCTGATCGCTAGGAACAGCTAAGATGCTGCGCAGAGCCTCCTAGGCTTCTGATAGAGGGTCCAAGGCTGCGGATGGCGGCACCCATAGGGATAAGGAAAGGATTTTTTTATGTTAAGAAAATCTTTATTTCCTAAGGTTTCGTCTTGTCTCGTCGCCAGTTATTTTCTTTTATTTATTTGAGAGTCTTGAAATTGCGAACTATTAATTAATTATTATTCAGAGATTTGATGATAAAGTTTTTTCATTCGTTTCTCAATAATGCTCTAATGCTCAATATTCGATTATGAGGTGGGTTTTCTAAGCGAGCCTTACCTGTAAATCACCTTGTTGTTTTTTGATGTGTAGTAATGCTTATTAGAAAGGTGTCAAGATCCTAGGTAATACTAGGGGTCCATGCTTAGCTAGCCAAACATTCCTTATCATATTAGCGGCTAACAGCGAGTCCAACCAAAGTGAAAAACGCTACATTCGAGCCGAGATCGCATCAGCCTTCTATTTAATTTTTGCTTCTCTTTCGTTTCGCTAGCAATCATCATATATATGCGATAAAGAATTTTCATGAAGAATTTTATTCTTTTCATGGAAATAAATTTTCAGATCAAAAAGATTTTCATCTTTTTTCTATACCGTAATTTTTATAGATTTAAGCGAATTTCATATTTCATCAAATGTTTTTCATTCCACTGCATGTATTATTTTATTTTATCTGTTCATTTTCATTGTCGCTAATTCAACAAGTTTTTCATTTTCAAGATCGTCACATACACCACAAAAAAGTTGCTAATTTCAATTCACATTTAACAATTACACGATGCCTTAGTCATTTATTGCTCTGGCTGAAGTGAAGTACCACTGCTTCGATGTCTTACCGCGACTACACCTATATATGATGCCTTAGTCATTTATTGCTCTGGCTGAAGTAAAGTACCACTGCTTCGATTTCTCACCGTGAGTAGATCTGTTATTAGAAATAGCTAGAAAATACTGTGATTACTATGCACCCTACTCCATCTACAAATAGCTGTTTGATTGTTAAAGATTTCATGCTAATAGTCAATAGTTTTGACCAATCAGTGATGCATGTTATACATGCAAGACGAATAATTATTGTAAAATTTTTTCTTTTCGTTTTTGCACTGAAATATTTAATTGTTTTCAATTTTTTTATGTTTTATATGTTTACATTTTGTATTTTCGTTCACAAATAATTTATTATTTTTATTATTTTTCTCCGAAATAATTCTAAAAAATAAAATATTAAATTAATAATATTTTAAATTAATATTAATATTAATATTATATTAATTTATATATTAATATTTTAAATGACTATTAAAACATTTTCATTCTCCTTATAATTATTTTCATTTTTTCGAATGCATTTTATTTCGTTTTTATATTTTTATTTTTTACAATGAACGAACAATGAAGGTTTGTATGAGATTTGGGCGTTCATTTCGTTGTTTCGCGATTAGTGCAAAAAATGGTGACTGCTTTTGGTGATTCGTATCGCGAATCGACATTGACGTGATTGATTCTCTTGCCTTAACTAAATTTATTCCATTATTCTTCATAAATTTTGACCTTTTTATTAATGAATCGTCATTTATTTGATTTTTTCCAACAATTATTGGTGAATATTTGATTGGAAATTGGCGAAAAAAAGGAACAATGAAGGAAGTAAATGAAGGATCATAATAAGAATGCAGGAAGAATAGAGTTATTATGCATGAATAAACAAATGAATAATTAATTACCTTTAATGGTCAAATAGATTCCTTATAATATGGTCAAATAGAATTCATAAAATTTTTTTTGCAATTAAAAATGGTACTTTTGCATGCAAAATGAACGCATTTCATCAGTCTTAGAGGCAAATTATTATGAAAAAATGGGAAATGGCGAAGAAATGTTCTCGTTTTTTTGAAGTGTTCGTTTATTGAAGATTCTTACTGGTTCTAAAAAATTGGTGGTGCGGGACCTACTGCATATCTATTAGCAAGAAACATTTAGACGACATATATCTTAGCAGCAAAATAGGACAATGAGGAATGTTGCATGTTGGCGGAAGAAGAAAAAGCGCTTAAATCCTAAACGCAACTCTAATTTTAGAGTTATTCGAGCTTTTTTACATTTTAATAATGTTATAACGTGTATTTATAAAATTATTTTGGTCATTTTTTATTTAGAAGTAGGGAAAAAGTCATGTCTGTGCTAAATAACGTTTATAAAACATTTAAAAAGCAATAAATAAATGTAAAAAACTGAAACTAAAACATTAATTGCATATGGATTTACCAGTATAGACTGATAATTATAGTAGAGATAGAATGGCTCAGTGAGTGTTGTTGAATTTGGAGCGCCGATGCTGAGGTCCAATTCTCCGCAAGGGTAAACCTGTGCAAAAATCCGATTGATGCTTCGACTTATATGTATTTCTATAGCCAAAGAGTCTTTGGAAAATTTGTTCAGTCTAATAAGC